AAAACATTTATGTCAAAAGTTCAAGCCTCTGTCGTTAAAGTTCCAGACAGTGAACTCATTGAATTTCTTCAACGTTACATTCGACGTAAGAGGAAATATTATGCCATCGTTGAATTTATACAGTCAGGAATGCAAAAGACTTCAGAGAGATGGAAAGAATTATTGACAAACACCACTTACGTCAATACTCAGGAGTTTACGATATGAAACGACTTACAAACTACATTCTGTCAAAACTTTCAAAATACCCCTTCAAAAAGTATCCTTCAAATACTTTGTTTTGCGACGACTTCGCCGGAAAAGGTTTAGTGTCAAAGCCTGACTCACCATTAGCTAACATCATTACTAAAGTCAGACATTACCACTTAACTGTAGCAATACTTATGCAAACATGGCTTTCCTTGCTTTAAACATAAAACGTCTCATAACTGACTTCGTTATCTTTCAAGGTTTCTCACGTTATGATATTGAACTCATTTGGAAACAGTCAGGTATAACATTACCTTTTGAAGAAATTTGGGAAGCATATAAGTCTCTCATCTCTCCTCGTTCATACCTTGAGATTCATATCATGACTAATACCATTAAAGTCAAAAATATTCCATGGGAACGACCAACATTGTTTTAAAGTTTAACCTTCAATTGACTGATGGTAAACAAATTCCATGCATCTCTGTCGCCATTTCTGTTAATATTTTTGCTGTCATTCATATCATCCACTTCCCCATCCGTTAGCTTTTGAGGATATGCGTTAGAATAGCTGTTCTTAAATGAAGGCTTTTCACCTTTGAGAGCATAAACTCTATAACTTTCTGCATACTTTATGTTTGAACCTCCTGAGCCATCATTGACATAAATTTTTATAGGCTTCCACCCTTTGTTCATATTCCTGCTTCTTCCCTTAGCTCTTTTGTTCAGTAGTTCTACATCTTTATACACAGCACCTGTCTCAGTGAATTCAACAATATTTTCATTCGTTAGCTTTACATTCAAACCCTTGTCGAGTATATTGTTCATTTCATACATATAAAAGGTTTTTATTCTATATGAAATGAGAAGCAAATCCATCTTAGCTGGTGCCGTTAATGTTCCAATTGAACCAACATCAAATGTTGACTCACGAACGACAAACAATATTGTCATAAAGAACTATAGTTCGGAGTGTTTGAAAGAAGAACCAGAGCTGAAATCCGTGAATTTAAACACAGCTTCAAACGCTAACGCTACATCAGATGTTAAGTTAGAGTATCCACCACTGGACCAAATTCTTTCAAGAGAAGCCAACGACAACCCTTACACAAATGTTCAAACAAATCCTTCAGATAACGTAGACCATTACCTTCTTCAGTTATACCAAACAATTTTACTCAAAGACGATAAGAAGCTTTTGACAAATCTTATAAGTAAGAACCAAATAATTCTAACAAAGGAGGACCTTGAAAATGTTATCTCACGAATAACAGGGAAACAATGTGTCATTGACTATCTCGACCCTGAAATCGAATGCTGTGGTCAAACTCCACTATTCATGAAAATAGGTAACATCCGCATCATTGAAACACCAGGAACTACAGGAGTTGAGTTTAAGTATAAATATTCGAACGAGTATACAAAACTTTCAACAGAATATAAACTTTGCTTGAAATATGTTTTAGTAAATTAAAGCAATTTGTAATATCTATCCAAAACTTCTTCAACAGTATCGAACTCATCTTCATAATGCAAACCTAATCTTATTGACTTGGTGCAGTTTTCACTAACACAATATAGCGCTTTGCGCTCGGCGCCTTTGACGCCTTTTTCTGTTCTCTTGACTGACATAACTAACTCATTTGTTTCATCAAACAGCAACAACCAAAGTTCATGACCTAATACATAACATTCATACTTTATATTTTTAGCTCTGAGTTCTCTTGTAAGCTGTTGCATTTAATATTTTCTAAAAAGTCAACTTCAACAGTCATTCGCACTGGTGCCTTCAGTTCTACAGGCTCGCCCTGAAAGTCAACTAGTCTGAATTGCATGTCTTTCAAATTATGAGGACTAATGCGAACCCATTTACCTAAATGAGTTGCTATGACAGGAACGTTTGGAATGAACATTGAATTGACTGCATAACAGAAAGATTTATACTCTACTGAACCTTTACTATTAACTCCTGAAATGCCTGTGACATTAGCTATTTTAGACTCAATGTACAAACAATTACCATAACATACGTATGGAACAGATTTCATCTCAATCGTTTTGTCAACACTTTTCAAAGGAAATGTCATATGGTATGCTCCCAAAAGAAGTTTACTCTATGACTCATTCGTGTTATCTTGAACTCTTTCTTGCTACTGAACTTCAATGTTCCCTCAGAAGAGAGTTCGACATCTATGTTTAATAGTTTCTTCATTTATGAGAGTATCTATGACTCCAGCAATTTTATCTATTCTATACTCTGCTCTGTTAGGAAATGTTATAAAACTTCTTTTGTCATCTATTTCAATCTCTATGAAATCTGTTTCATCTGTTATGACAAAAGTTGCGATAGTATTGAAGTCAACAACTCTGAAAGCAAGCGCTTCATTCTGAAGACCTAAGTTTGTTTGTAGCTTTACTGTCCCGTATTCGTTTGGGTCTGTACTTTGCAAATAGAACAACATTTTATTCTCATTAAAATATGACTATTGCTGCATATGCGTATGAAACAAATGAAGCAAGAAGAGCACATGAACTAGTAAACGAAAACTCAACTTTAACCATTGAAGGCAATGATTTAGTCATTGACGATGGAAAAACTAAAAAAGTCATTGATTTCGATACTTTTAACACTTATGACCCATTCATTACAATAAGTAAAGTTCCTATCATAAATGATGGAACGGTGCAATATATAAATTCTACTGTAGATGCCTCATTAGTGAAAGTACTGAATGTTCTCATTGAATTGTTAAAGAGCTTTCGATTTGACGACAACATTAAATGCCTAAAGAATTTAGTCATGAATGAGAAACAAATTCTTGGCGTTGCTGTGCAGTAATGATGTACACCTTATGACATTAGAATATTATAACGAACATAAAGATAACTGAAAGAGAGAAGGGTGACACCGGACTCAAGGACCACAAGGAATACAAGGAATACAAGGAATACAAGGAATACAAGGACCTCAAGGCGAAAACGGTTTGGATGGAAAGATGGAAAGGATGGAAAAACTGCTAAATCATGGATATGGGACCTTATAAATACTGGTTTAACAGCTGCTTCATATGGAGTTCTTCAATACCAAATCGGAAAGATATGGGCGGTACTTGGTGAAGAAGTTTTAAATGACGTTAAAAATGCTTTGAACTTCATTTCAAATGGTTCGGATACTATTAAAACTTTATCTGGTTGGATGCAAGAAACAAGGAGTCAAATAGATACTGTAAGACGTATAGCAAACAATGCACGTACGGGATTGGATACTTTACGACAAGCACAAAATACACTAAAGGAAGCAAATGATATTCTTGGCTCAGTATCAGACATGCATGAAGATTGCTTAAAGGTATTGACAAATCTTTAAAAAATCACAGTCAGTCTATTGCTGACTACAAGAAAAGTATAGATTTTTTACATAGTGCTATGGACGTACATGATGGAAGCATAAGGAACTTACTTAATGCTAACAATAACTTACCAGGAACTATTAAAGCATTTATAAAGTCCTTTGTAAAACCCGGGCTCTAACATTTAGGTCTTTGAGAGCAAGAGCATTGAAGTCAAGAGATGCAGAAACTCCAACAGAACCTACAGAAGGAACTGAAACAACAGAAACTCCAAAAGAACCACCAAAACCAACAGCTAATGAAATATTGTTCGAATATTTTCCAAGGTACTCTGTTCTCATTGCATACATTCAAGAAATACTTAAGAAAGCAGACTTGACTTTAGGAGATGATGAAAGTTCTGTATATCTTTCGTTCCAGTTTCAAATAGCAGAACTTTGAGACAGATATGCTTAATGTATGACAACATCTCTGATTTCACAAGATATGATGACGACCATGACCCCGAACACGGTGAAGAAGAAGTTTTACAAACATCCATTAAGACAGGAAAGGTTTAACTCAAAGTCTCATTATTGACACCAAAGATGGCGAAGTGGACGTTCTTCAAGAGCTGAAGAAAAATACTTCTTCGGGAGGTGGTGGTAGGCATGAACTTGAAATAAATGAGATAGAAGAGAATTAGCCGAAAAAGCAGATAAAGAACATAAACAACAATATCTCCGATATAAATGAACTTCAAGCTACATTAAATAGTAAAACAGATATAAAATGAACTTGACGCAATGAACAAAGTTTTGAAATCTCATAAACACAATATCTCCGATATAAATGAACTTCAAGCTACATTAAATAGTAAAGCGGACAAGAACCATGTTCATTATATAACTTCAGACGAACAGATTATAACGGACTACCATGGATATTTAACACGAAGTGATGAAGCGAAGACAAAAATGTTAATGAAAGAAGATATAAATACATTCGTGCTAAAGGTTGAATAAAGCTGTACTGTACAGTATGATTTGCTAAAGCACCAGAAGCATTTGGTTATACCGGTGAAATTTATGCCTCTACTTTCAATGTTAACGGTGTATTAGTTGAACCAAGAATTTATGTTAAGAGTTAAGGCAAAAATAACTTTTGAAGATGCTATTAAAAGTAAAGCTGACAAAAATGAACTCGAAGCAATGAACAAAGTTTTGAAATCTCATAAACACAACATCTCTCCGATATAAATGAACTTCAAGCTACATTAGACAGTAAAGCTGACAAGAACCATACACATAAATCCTTCACTACTGTTAGAGCAGACGACATAATATTGAACTATACCCTTGTTCAAGTGCACCTTTAGAGAATCCAAGTACAAGCGTAAAAGATACACTAAACTCCTTAAATAACAAATGTATGAATATCGAAGGTCATGTCAGAAACTTTGAAACACATGAACTACCAGCAATGTTAGAGAAGAAAGCAAATAAGACTCATACACATACAAGTTTTACAACTGTTGCTATAGAAAGTATTGAAGGAACGGTTGAAGGAACTGGTGGGGATGCATTATATTGTAAACCTCCTAACTTTCCACAAGGTTTAACATCGGATGACAACATAACGACGATGAAAAACATTAGATGTAAAGATGTTTATGTCATGAAGGATGAACATAATATTAAATTCACTGCTCAAGATTTATATGACAAGAAAGCAGACAAAACAGAGCTTCAAACATTAAAGACTCAGATTCTTCAAACATTATATCCTATAGGCTCTATTTATACGTCAATGAACTCAACAAATCCAGAAACAGTTTTAGGTTTTGGTACTTGGGAACAGATTGTAGACAAATTCTTATACTGTGCTAACTCTTCAAAGCAAACGGGAGGTTCGAAGAAAATTACTGAAGCAAACCTTCCACCGCACACTCATACGGGAACTACAAACACAACGGGTAGTCATTCACATTCAATAACAAAAAGAGGTTATACAAATCTTGCAGCAGGTTCGGATAGACAGGGAATGCATAGATATGATATTTCAAGCGACCCAGTAGATTCAAGCGCAGGTATTTTCTGTGGAACCGCAGGAAATCATGTCCATACTTTCACAACAAATCCAACAGGCTCGGGTGCAGATTACATGCCACCATTTGTGACTGTATTTGTATGGTACCGCGTTCAATGAACGCGCTTGAGCCTGCTTTGCGGGCTTACCGTCTTGAATAAAATCTTAACTTTACATAAATGAGCTTGAAAGAAAGTATTCGAACAACATCCATGGAGGTCATTTAAGAAGTTCAATGAAGCTGCAAAGAGTTGGGATTTACTAACAGAGCTGAAGTGAAAAGGTTCTTTGACAAAAATGTTGTACATCAAACAAAAATAAACCCTTACGACTACTTTTTACCAATTTACTCCAACGCTCCTGACGCATACCAATTTGAACACTCTCATTCAAAGCAGAAAAGGAGGACATAAACCATTCCTATCTTCAGAAATGTTAACACTCGTAAAGCATATGCATATCCAATGAAAAATAAAGGAACTCGTGAAGTTTTAAGAGTTTTGCAGACGTTCGTGGCAGAACATAACCCAAGACTTTAACATCAGACCAAGACAGTGCATACCTCAGCAATGAAATCACAGATTTTCTGCATTAAGCATAACATAACTCACTACACTACTGAAGACCATAAATAACATACTCGGCATCATAAACCGCTTCATAAGGACTCTCAGAGATTTAAACCAAGAGCGAGACTTTACCGAAGAAACAATGAAACATTTTCTCGAAGTATATAATTCCTCAACACATTCTACAACAGGACATACACCAAATTCAATGACACAACAACAAGAAGAAAAGTATATACAAAAGAAACGAAGCCAAACACAAAATATCAGAAATTCAACCAATTTACCCTCATTCCTGGAACAAAAGTTCGTGTAGTTCTTGACGACAAACCGTTGACAAAAGAAACGTTAAGGTTAAGTAGAAACTATTATATCGTAGACTCTACACAAGGTAATGGATATCTTATAAAAGCTGCTGACGACTCCATAGCGTTTTACCCTCGTCAGAAATTAGTTGAAAGTAGTAATGGCAAACTTGCTGAAACCATTGACGAAGCAAAGCGAGGAGTGGTTATTGAAATACTTGGCTACAACATAAACGATGACACTTATAAAGTAAGATATGAAGGAGGCGTTGAAGATGTTATACCATCTAAGAACTTGAGAGAGTCAAAGCCGACACATCTGGGACCATTAGAGCGGGAGTATTGGAAAGACAAAAATATGCCAGAAAGAATAAGAAAATTCTTCTAAACTTTTTCATTAGATGTAAATCAGACAAAAATATAATTTAGGGTAGAAGGTTAGATCTAACCTCTTTTCTAACCTCTTTTCTACCCTCTTGAATTTGTCATGAATTTTCCCGAAATAAAAAATAAAACTAACTTTATTTTTTTTTATTTTTTTTATTTTGTATAAAAGATATGATTTCAACAATCGGCACAACAACAATTCAAACAACTACAGCACCAAACTCGTTAGTTATGAATCCAACATCTATGTTAGTAGAAATGAAAAAACTTCATTCCTTCTTCATATACTTTCGAAACAGAAATCCAGAAGATAAAGCAAGAACTTTTAACAAGTACTTTAGACTGTAGTGCGAAAGATGAAACAAATGAACAGTATCTTTATGAAATGCAGGACATTATGACCATTTACCCAAATTGCCTGAAATCCAACAACAAAAACTAACTATTCCTGAATTCGACGAAATAGAAGTCAAAGCAACTGACTCAGTAGAAATAAAGAAGTTCATACGAAAGGTAAACTATGAGTTTCTTGGATTTCATTGCAACCATAAGGTTATGGACAAAGATTGCGACATGGTATATAAGAATGTTTCTGACATATATAAATCTGAAGAATTTAAGACCTACGACAACTTTGTTTCGTTAGTTGCTGAATGTGTATGGCAGATAAGAGATAAGATAGAAGAGGTAAGGTATGGAATGAACAGATAAAACCAGCAGCTTTTGAGTTAAAGAAAACCATTGACGCCTTGGTTGTTTTAGCAGGTAAGGTTTCAGAATATAACGCAAAAATGAACCCGCAATGTTCTAAATGTAAAGCAGCAATAAGAAAATATAACTACTCCGTCAAAGAGATAGAACGTATGCGAAACGACTATGCTGACTTAAAGAAAGAAGTAGAGAAACCAGCAGAAGATAAAATGGACATGTTAGAATTTCTGAACAAAAACTATCCAACAGCAGAAGATTTCCTTCTATCTGACGTCAAGAAGAAATATAAAGAAACCTTCGGTATCGTTAAAACATTCGATGTACTAAAAGAAGAAATTGAAGCTACGAAACTGTTTAGAGTCTCACGAATTCATAACGTTTACCATGTAAAACGCTTATAAAATAACTGGGGTAGAAAAGAGGTTAGAAAACAGGTTAGATCTAACCTTCTACCCTAAAATATATTTTTGCTGAATTCTGTATAAAATTCTGAGTAAAATAATTTTTAGGGCTTGTGTCAAACCGTTGAGTTTTCACAAAATTCCAAAAATAACGTTTACCATGTAAAACGCTTATAAAATAACTGAGGTTAGAAAAGAGGTTAGAAAAGAGGTTAGATCTAACCTTCTACCCTAAAATATATTTTTGTCTGATTTACGCTCATTACGATGAAGAAGTCTTGACAAAACATATACGTTTAGTTTCGATGAAATCATGACAAAGAATGTACGATGAAGAAGTCTTGACAAAACATTTACGATGAAATCATGACAAATTCAAGAGGGTAGAAAAGAGGTTAGAAAAGAGGTTAGATCTAACCTTCTACCCTAAAATATATTTTTGCTGAAAAATGACCAAATTTCATGAATTTCCTTAAGACAGAAAAAATAAAGTTAGTTTTTTATAAAATATTTTTTTTATTTTGTATGTAAGAACATATATGACAAACACTGAGTTTGAAACAGTTAGAAAAATAGACAATAACACCAAATTGGTTAGAATAGGTGATTTAAACGTAAGATACTCAAAGAAATACAACAAATATTCTTTGTCAGACATTATATCTCCATCTGGAAAGAAAACAAACGACTGGGTTAGAAATGCTTCAACTCAGAAAATTTTGACAAGAAATCCTGAGCTTATGATATCGGTAAGATTCTATGGAACTACAGCATATCTTATAGACAAAAGTCTTATACCAATAGTTTTGTTATGGTTAGACCCAGTTGTTGGATATAACTTCATAACTTATGGTTCATTCGATACGGAACGTTGCAGTGAAGGCTTACTTTACATCGTTCAGAAACCGAAGGACTTCAATACAAAGAGATATAAGATAGGAAGAACATATAATATAACTAAAAGATATGACAGTACAGTCAATAGAGTCAAGGTTGTGTTCGTTAACGATATGAGAGCTGCTGAAACAGAACTACTTGAAAAGTTTGAGAAAATATATGGTGCTCCCATAAAAGGTAAAGAAACGTTTGAAGTAGATGAGATAGATAAAGCTATAAAATTATTTGACGAAGTTGCTGAAAAATACATGTAAAGCGTTTATTTTTGGTCTTTTGTGAAAGACAGAAAAAATAAAGTTAGTTTTATTTTTATTTATTTTTTTATTTTGTATGTAAAGACAGATATGTCAACAACAGAGAACACAACAACTGCTATCGTTCATGAAGCTATAAATGAAGAATATGAGTACATACAGTTTAACAAACAACTCCGTCTCATTCGTTCGGTCAAAGACGATATGTACCAAATGCAAAGTATTTTGACAGCATGTTTTGCTCCAGATACTAAGCTTCCTAAAGACTGGTTTAGGAACCAAAGCACACAAGAACTTTTGAGCGAAGCACAGCGAGACATACTTTTTTCTGAAAACAGTGAAGAACAGCGAGTAGGTAAAAAACCCCAGTCGCCAAAACTCTATGAAAATCGTGAAAAATTGCCAAACGGTTTAAGAGGATATTATGTACATAGACTTCTTGTAAATGCTGTTGCAATGTGGGCTTCGCCTCGTTATGCTTGGTATATTTACAGACTTCTTGACGAAATTCATAGACAAGAACGTGAAGAGCTAGAGAACAAGCTTGAAGCAAAAGACAAAAGCATTCAGAAAAGAATACCACGTTCGGTACCAAAAGGAAAGGAAAAGAACTATAAGTATATGATTTATACTGAAGAGATGGAAAATGAAGAAGATAAAGATATGGTTATGTTGCATTTAGTCAGAAGAAACAACAAAAGCTTTTACGACCTTGCTAAGATTTACAAATCTGACAGAAATTGGTTCTATCGCGAAAACTTACCGATTTCAATGACCCCAAATGAAGATGTGAAACAAATAGTTCAAGATACGTTACCTCAAACACACTATGATATGAAAGGTTGTACAATACTTACCTTCAAAGAAGATTTGCCATTGTTAAAGGAAAAAATAACAGAGTATTTTGACAACTTCAAACAAGTAGAGTAAAAAAATCTAAGCTAATTTTATTTTTTTTATAAAATTTTATCTCATATGAAAGAACATGAATTTAGAATATTCGGAACTCATGACAGAAGAAGAGAACGAACAACATGTAAAAGATTATGCAAAATTTCTGAAGACATACAAAGCATTTAAACAATATCTAAATGCTTCTAAAGATTATGCAAAATTTCTGAAGGTATATAAAGCTTATGAAAAAGCGTATGAAAAGTTTATACATTGGGGAATTGTTGTAAAATATCGATATGAAGACTAACCAAAAATATATTTTTGCTTAAATAGCTTCAGGGTCTATTTCTTCAACCATTTCACTTCCTTCGTCAATGTCAATAGAAGCTTCTTCAACCTTTGGTAAGAATTTCTGTATAACATTTTTGTTCGTTATTGTCTTCAGAGATGAAGGATAATATTTCACATTTGTTTCACCCTTCTTATATTCTTTCTGTTCGGAAAGATTCATAGCAATACTGAAGAAGTCAATGTTAGAGTTCTTTATGACAGTATAATGAGTATCTTTGACATTCACGAAGAAACTCTTTTGTTTCAAAACTACTGCTAACTCTTGTGAAGTATAACGTTTGCGGTCAATGACGATAGCTAATGGTCTGACATACTGACCGAACTTAGATTCTTTCACAAACTTCTTGTTAAAGATAACATTAACATTTGAAGCATTATTGAACTCATTCTTGATGGCATTAGCGAGAGCATTGTATGAAAAGAACTTGCAATCTTGCATGTGTTTCATTAAAATAAAAATATTAAGTTATTTTGAAAAATAACTTAAAAAAATCTAATCTAATTTTTTCAAAAAATATTTTTTTATTTCCTACTAAAGATGTATCGGAAGTTGTCTAAGTTAGAACACTCGGAAATAAAACAACTTCTAACAGAAGCTAATATAGATGTTGCAAAGCATTACGCAACAAACAAAAAGGCACTCGCTGACTTCATTAAAGACTATAATGGTGCAATAAGTTATGATAGAATTCATAAGTTCATAAAGCCGCAACGCGGCGAGGACGAAGTCCATGCAATAGCATTTCCTTTAAATGACGTTGCTATTGACTTATATCATAGACGTTCAGTACCTCATGAAGTAAGAAGAGAAATGTTTGACATAACAAATGCAAACGTTGGTCATACTCGTAAAGCTCTTTCGCATGATGTTCGTCAAGAGATGTTTGACATAACAAATGCGAACGTTGGTGAAACAAGAAGAGCTGTACCTCATGAAGTAAGAAGAGAAATGTTTGACATAACAAATGCGAACGTTGGTGAAACAAGAAGAGCTGTACCTCATGAAGTAAGAAGAGAAATGTTTGACATAACAAATGCGAACGTTGGTGAAACAAGAAGAAGAGACGACACACTGAAACAACAGAGAAGAGAGATGTTTAAGAGCGCTATAGAACAAGTTCGCAAAGCTAACGATGTCATTCGTTCCATTGACGACAAACCAAAAGAAGGTGAGAGATGGTTAAAGAAAGATGAAGAGAATAGGAAGAGAAATGTGAAGTCAGGCAATAGACTCATTGACTTTAACATCGAAGCTTTAGATGAACCAAACAGAGACTACTTACACAAACATTTCGGTAAGGTTTTCATGAGACTCTTAGAGAAAATTAAAATAAACTCACAACAGAGATGGATGGTATGTTATAAACTTGGTGGAAAGTATGAATGTTCTACGTTAAACCTCAATAATATTGGAACATTACTACATCAGCTCTTGAAGGAGAACTTTATATCAGAGATAGAAGCAAATGCTGCAGGTATTGTTGAAATGCACTATGACTTCTTCTTGACAAACATAAAGAATCTTACCGAAATAAAGATGTATGATTTAACAGAATATGAAGGCTTAACGATGTCAGATGTAAAGAAAGGCAAACCAAAAAAGAGACCATATAGAGATGAAAGCACACTGACAAATGACCAGAAAGCCATTTTGGAAGCTCTTAAGCAAACAGGAAACCCAGCACTTATAGAAAGCTTTTGGAAAGATAATGGTGAAAAGAAGTTTTATAAGAAGAGAAGCGGTCAGTTCTGGAAGTATCTTTGCACATTACCTATAAATCTTGAACGCTACCAAATCTTCAATGAACTGAACAAAAGAACTGCAACACTTATGACAGAGGACAATTGTTTCGTTTATGCTTGCATTCAGGCTGGAGTAAATGGAGAGACTATTGACCACATGAGAGAAGTCATTCGTGTTAGAGACTTTCCTCAAAGTAAAGTACAAGAAATTTCTGACGCAACAGGTATAGCATTTAATGTTACCATTGGTTATTTCAATGACTCAAGACATAATGAAATAAAGAGATACATACCAAAAGAATGTGAAACTGTTCGAACTATTGACTTACTTCTTGTTGAAGACCACTACATGCTAAATGAAAGACTTCCAATGACAACATATTTCATTCGCAACTATATAGAAATCTTGAAGGAGTGTGGTGGAATGAACATTGAGAAACAGATGAAAATATATACAAAGAGAGAGAACAAATATGTAGTTCGTTATGATAGAACTACACCGCTATGGGATGTTATGAAAACATTGTGGGAGTGCAAATATTTCGAACCTATTTCTTATGGAGAACTTTTCACATATACGACTGACTTATATAAACAGAACCTTGCACCATTTAAAGATTTGACATATGCTCCAAAGTATTGTGTACAACTGAAGAAGAAAGCAGAGTCAAAAGAAGTAAATAAAAATAAGTGCAAGTTCATTCCTGAGCACGTTTTCTTTGCTGACTTTGAGTGTAGTACCGATGGCTTTCATAAAGCTTTTAACATCTGTTATGACAGTGAAGATGGTTCAGTGAGTGAAAGCATATGGGGTCAAAACTGTGCAACAGAATTTTTGGAGCGACTTCCTGACAAGAGTTTAATATATTTCCATAACCTCAGTTATGATATAAACTTCATCTTAAGACACATGACAGAAGTGAAAGGAACTCCCATCATTAAAGGTTCACGAACAATGCAAGTAACTGGCTTATATAAAGGAAGGGCAATTATTATAAAAGACTCTTACAGTGTTATAAATAAGAAGCTTAAACTATTTCCTGCTATGTTTAACTTACAAACAGGACCGAAAGAAGTATTTCCATATAACTACTACAGCAGTGTTTTGTTAGCAAATGACAACAGAACTGGTGTCATTTCTGAAGCATGTAAGTTTATCCAGGATGCAGATACGTTCATGAAGAACATAGATTCCATCAAAGGTTGCAGAATAGATGAAAACCATTTCGATTTAGAAAAATATAGCTCATTTTACTGCAAACAAGATGTAAGAATTTTAAGAGAAGGTTTTGTAAAGTTCCGCAATGACTTATTGAAAGAGTTTGATTTAAACGTTTATGACTACGTTAGTATTTGTTCTATTGCTAACAAATTGTTTGAGAACAGAGTATACTTCCCGAATGGAAATCTTTATGACCTCTCAAATAAACCAAGAGAATTTATTTCGAGATGCATTCAAGGTGGAAGATGTATGTTGTCAGATAACATGAAACAAAAGAGCAAAAAGAAACTCATTGCTGACTTCGACACTGTTTCATTATATCCTTCAGCTATAGCAAGACTTTATACTTTAGAAGGTATTCCAAAAGTATTGAAGGAAGAAATGTTAAGCACAGAGTATCTCATGAGACATTTATTCGATGACGACCAAAAGGAACCCATTGGTGAAAAGTTTATGTCTGGCTTCTTTGTTCTCATTAAGATAACAGAGATTGGTATACCCAGACACTTTCATTTAATAGTTTGCGACCCTGAACTAAATCCAGAACTTAACGTTCCAAGAAGTTCAAACACTTGCTGTCTCATGTATGTTGACCATATAACATTACAAGACCTCATAAAATATCAAGGTGTCAAATGTGAAGTGTTGCAAGGATACTATTACGATGGAAACAGAGATATGAGAATAAGAGATGAAGTAAAGAAGTTGTTTGAGTTAAGGTTAAAGTATAAGAAAGAAGAAAACCCCTTACAAGAAATTATAAAACTCATTCTGAACAGCATTTATGGCAAAACTATTCTATCTCCTATTGAGTCAAAAATAACCATAGTAGATGACAAAGATGCTATAAGATATGCTATAAGAAATTACAACCATATAGTGAAGTTCGAAGGTTTGGATGGTTCAGATAAAACTATTTTCAAGCTAACGAAAAGCATTTGCAGACACTTTAACTTCTGTCCACTTGGTGTTAATATTCTGTCTATGTCAAAACGTATTATGAATGAAGTATTCTGTACTGCAGAGGACATGGGACTTCAAATCTTTTACCAGGATACCGACAGTATGCACTTATATAATGAAGACATCCCAAAGCTTGCAGCAGAGTTTAAGAAGAGATACGGTAGAGAACTTATAGGAAAGAACCTTGGTCAATTTCATAGCGACTTTGCAGAAATAACACCTGGAAAACAAAGTTTAGCTTATAAAAGTATTTTCTGTGGAAAGAAGACCTACATAGACTTACTCACTAACGATTTAAATGAAGTTGCATTTCACTGCAGAATGAAAGGCGTGAAGCAAGATGTTATTGCTTTAACCGCTAATGAAATGTTTCCTGAAGCTATACAATGCTATTACAATGAAGATAAGAACATTCACATACCTGTTGGAACATATGACAAAGACTCTGAGTTCAGTTTAATGAAACTTTACAAAGCACTTTATGACGGTCAAGAGATTGGATTTGACTTATGTAAGTCATGTCAACCTTGCTTTGCTGAAAAGTTTAACTTCTCAATAACGACTAAAACAAGCTTTATTCGTAAGTTGAAGTTCTGAGGTCATTTATTTTTGTCAGCAATGAGGTCATGAATGAGGTCATGAATGAGGTCATTTATTTTTGTCAGAAATGAGGTCATTCGTGATAAAAATAAAGCTAGCGTAGATTTTACAATACTGCGATGGTAGAGTTTAAGAGTTGTGCTTCAATGTAGAGACAGTCCTTATGGTCTGGAGGCAAGAACACTGGACATTTATGGTCATGAGTGGAGTACATGTCTATCCAAAACTCACGATTGAAGCCAGTTAATTTATAGTATTTAGGGTTAGGAAGTGGTGAAGTTCTTGTATGACCAATGAACTCATTTTCAACGCCTTTGGCTATATTAGAGTAAAGTATTGCTTGCTTTCTATCCCAAATGCCAGGTGTTACAATCTTTGAAAATTCATTTTTCCTCGGAAGCATTGCATCATAATTGAAAACATTCTTAAAATCATCACTTGGTTCAGAGATTTGAAATCTTATACGTAATGGATTTTCTTTCTTTTTAGCGACTTCATTGAATGGTGAGAATACAATGAATTGACAGTCATGAGTTCCATCTTCATTTTCATTAAATTCATAATGAAAGTCTATAAGTTGTGGCTGACTACCTTCTTCTTTCAGTTGTGCAAGAAACTCACGTAAAGGCTGTAAAGTTTGTACTTCAATGTTGAACTTTTTCTCGAACATCTCATTAAATGAAATCATACATTGTTGCAATGTTGTATCGTCTTTAAAGTATTTGTATATGTGAATGTTTTGGGCGCTTAAAGACTGTTCGTCATTTTCTATCTCGACTTGAAGTATAAAGTCAACCTTTCTGAAAGCACGTGTTATATACATAGATGTTATGCCAATGTACTTCTCTTCATTTATGTTCACAATCCAGTCTGTTGGAAACTTAAACGTTACTCTGTTCCCCTTTATTTTGACGTCAGGGTTTTCACTACTGAACGCAACAGTTAAAGGTATTTGTCTATACATTTAATTCGGATAAAAATAAACCATTTACTCTTTCTTTGCTTCAGCTTCTTTAGCTTTTGCTTCTTCTCTAGCTTTTTTCGCCAGCAAACGTGGGTTCTTCTGTCTTCCAGCAGCTAATGCAGCTAGTTGTTTTTCACTAAGTTTTCTCTTTGGTCTCTCTGGCTTTTGTTCTTGTTTTTGTTCCTTCAGTTCGGATAAAATTTGCTCACGAATTTCTTTCTTCAATGCTTCAACATCTATGACCCCTTGGGTCTTGTCCGTAGGATTTGACTGAGTCATTTGACTGCAGATAAAAAACAAAATTAAAACTTTAACCGATGTAAAATGAGCTTGTCAAAATCAGACGAGAGTCTATTATATTAAATGACGCAAGAGGAATACAACATCCTTTCTATTATGTAAGTCAGAGTAAAGATGGTAAAATATATGTAAGAAAAAGAAAGGTTCCATTAGCGAATGCAGAGAGCGACAACATTAAGGTGCATGGCAAGGGTGAAGTCCACGAAGCCCATATAAAACCTTCTGTCAAACTGAGCCACCAAAAGAACAAGAAGAAAAGAAGCCAGATGTACTTTCAATAACGAACCAAGAGCTTATTGCAAAGTTCGTGAATTTCATTGAAAAACAAACCGAGTCAAAGAACCCTGACCCACCAGTGAAAGAAGTTGAGACAAAAGAGAATGTACAGTTCATTGAAAATGTCAAGAAACAACTTCCACCACGAATGCCAAGAAGAAGAGTGAGAATAATGAAGTAAATAGATATTTTTATCTGAAGTAAATACATGCAGAACGAACAGTTAAACGAATTTACTCCAGCAGAGCATATTCATCAGATTCGCTCATATTTCGATATCATAGACAATGCAGTTCAAATTGGTGACACTAATAGAAAATATTCTGACGCAAAGATTCCATCACAACCTGGAACTGCTAAAGATAACACATGGGTAACATTCAATCTCTCACCTCCTGGTGAAAATATGTTGGACCTTTACAATACATTCATTACGTATAAAATGGAAGGTCAATTTATTGCAGATAAAGAAATTGGTTCAGGTTCCAATAAAACAAACCCACCAGGATTTTGGATTGGTTTCGATGACGCTTTCTATGCAGTTGCTGGATATCAAATCCTTGCAAATGGTCGTATCGTATATTCTCAAGACAACGCAAGAGAAGAAGCATATATAACTTCAAACTCACAAACTACCGAACAAATAAAGAAAGTAGATGTTTTCTCAAAGACTCGACATGAAGATGTATGGAGTCATTCGGGAACATGCAGAACAGGACAAATTGTTAGTGGTCCAATTACAGCAGGAAAATCATTTGATTTTAAGCTTCGTTTAAGAATTCCTGTTAGAAGATTCCTTCCATTAGAAGCTATTCGATTTATTCCAGCTTTTGCAGGAAACATTCAGCTTAAAGTAAAGTTCAGTAGCGACGCCTTACAATGCACATCTATATCTGTAAATGATATCATTGCTTTCAATCCAACTCTTAAAGTTGCATTTGCTTCAGATTCAAATCCACCGACAAATAAATTTGTTCCATGGAATGAACCATTCACTATGATAACGAAGGCAGTAGAAGCTAGTGGAACAGTTACTATTACAACTGTAACCCAGCAACTATTTCGAACAAAGATGGATTTTAATGAATGTTTCATTCATCCAAAGTCATTCTCTTTAGACCCTAACATTTATACAGAACTTGTAGAACATTATACAAACGAGGCTTTATGTTTTCCTGTTAAAGTTATGGATTGGATTCCTATGGACGGTTCATTCTCAAAGAATACAGATAGTTCAAGTGCAACATTTACAGCAGCTTATACGCCTATTAATGTTAAAAGTATTTGGGCACTATTTAGAAAGAAAGACAACTATTATGTTAATTTTGAGAACCCTAAGTTTAAATATCTTCAGCTTTCCATGGGAGCTTATGGAAATATGCCTGCAGAACCTGAAAAATCATATGGACCTGTATTTTATGAAATGGTTGCGAACGCTTGCAATACAAACAATGATATGATAGGATTTAATGAAGATGTTATGAGGTCATTGGTGGATGATGGTAGTGTGGAACATAAATGGGATAGCTATGACAACACACATTTCTTATGTGGTTTTCCAACAGAAGTGGACTTTTGCTTCCACAAGGTCAAACATCTACTGCTCCAATAACATACAAATTGTCTGTTAAAGGACCTATTGAACTAGCAACTGAAAACGTACCAAAGCCACTTATTGGATTTATGAGGGATTGTTGCTTTGCCATTCAGGTGCGTGCTAATGGCATCCCATAATAAGATTAGATGACTATAACTTAGCCACGGACGACAGTGAGGAATAAAGGATGAACGTTTATTTTTAAAGCTTATAAATGAGTTCTTCATCAAGCTCTCGTGAACCTTCACCATCTATGAAACAAACTTTACCAAACGATTATGGAGCACCTATTGAATATTTCTTACGAGCTGCACAATGGCAAAGAGCAGTCTCACCAAGGTTAGGTGTTCCACCAGCTCCTGTCAAAAATAGCATTTGGTCAAGTCCTTATATAAAATATGGTCTCCCACTAGGTTTGCTAGCTACAGCAGGAGCAGTAATGATGTTGAAAAGAAATAAAGCAAATGTTATAAATAATACTGAAATAGCTGAAGTTAAACAAACTCCAACACCTTCGCCAAAACCAACGCCTTCACAAGCAAAACCTTCAATAACTCCTGAACCTATGGAAGTACAAACTCCTGTTCAAAAGTCAACTCCTAAACCGACTCCAACATTTAAACCAGAACCTACTCCTCAAATAAATCGTAAAACTCCTGCGTTTCCTTACTGAAAAAATAACGTTATTTTTATTTAATATTAAAATTTTTATTTGATTGAAATGACGACTAAAGTCACTGAAGCAATGAAACAAAAGTTTTTGGTAGAATACATTAAATCAGGAACTATTCCGGAAGGTTTTTACATTCATACTATGAAGGATGGTAGAGTTCAGTTTAGAAAGATAAAGCAACCATTAGATAGAGAAGGTATTTTGAGAAAGATTAAACTTCATGAGGACAACATTGCTGAACTTAAGAAGAAGTTAGAAGAGTTGGAGAAAGCAGACGACAGTGAGTTATAAAGCAATGAATTCAACAGGTTAGAAAAGAGGTTAGATATCGGGTTAGATCTAACCTTCTACCCTAAATTTATTTTTGTGCTATGTTTTCATACGTGTGCGGGTGGTGATATCATTAATTTTTTATTTTATTTTTAAATAATTTTTTATTTTATTTTTATATAAATGACGAAAACTATTGAGATAACAAACTACAACGGTCATGAGTTCAAGAATTTGTTCTTCGTTCCTCGTGAAAATACATTCTATCAGATACGAGGGAGAAAGGGTAAAGTTAGTTTGAGCGTTTATGAAGGAATGAAGAATGGAAAGTTTATACAAGCATACGATACAAACGGTAAACGTGTTTCATTAGCTTTGTCAAAACTTACTAACATTCATTTTGACAGTGATTTTGACCTATATGAAGAAGAAAGTGAGTCAGAAGATTATGAGCTGTTATGTGAAGCACAGCAATGGGAGGAGTTGCAATACTTTTGTAAGTGAGAACGTTTATTTTTACATTAGTGAAGTCGTTTGTGAAAACGTTTATTTTTTCATTAATGAGGTGAAGTGGTTGGCGGCTTTATAAATATTTAAGGTTAAGTTGGTGTTTGTGTTTGTGTTGTAAAATATACATTAACGGTTTCGTAAAGTGTCAAAACCGCTAAGTTGTGTACGGAGGCGAGCAGTGCCACAGTACACGACTTAGGGATACTAACTATTTTATCTCATGTCGGAAAGCAAACCGACAATAGTGGAAGAGAATCAAACTATATCAGTATCCATCTAAGCTATTGTTGATGAAGAAAAAGGAGATGGAGCTGATATGCTGGATTTAATTCAAAATGAATTGAATTCCCGTAAAAAATTGAAATATAGAATGGAAATACCTGAAAATTCCCCAATTCCAATTCTCAAGGAAAGATATAGCAAATTAAAATTTACAGATCCTACAGAAGCTGCTATATTTATTGCAAAAGATTCATATAATTCTTTTTATCCATTAAATTTTGAGCAAGGAAAAAAGTTTCGTTGTCCTAACTGCCAATTTTGCATGGAGCTTGTAAAGACTCATGAAAATAGTCAACTTTTCTTCATTCCAGTAATTAAACACGAGCATAGAGCAAAGCAATGCAAGCCGAGTAACAATATACCAAAAATTCTTAAGTTGCAAGCAGGAAAAAAAGTCTATGAATTAGCAAATTCTGATAATGTTCCTCAATGCAAAGAAATTTTTGCAAAAGAATTGAATATTCCCAATGCAACTTATACGATGTTCCATAATATAGTAAATAAACTTAAAGGAACCAAAAGGGGATAGAATTCAATCTTACAATTATTTCTCAACAATTTTTTCAATCATAAACAAAATCGAACAAGGATTCTGCGAAATGATTTTAGTTAAAGAAGTTAACAATGAAATTGAATTGCATACATTTAAGAAAGGTGATGAATTACCTGAAAATTCAAAAGACTTTCAAATTTATTCATTTATTGTAATTCCTCCAATAACTCATTTTTACATGCAAACACAAGCTTTTTGCGGAATAATTCAAATTGATGGAACGTTTTTATTTTGTATTAAAAAAGGAAACTTACTCATTATTGGTACACCTGCACCAAATAATAGACTTATCCCTATTGCATTTGCATGGTCTGTTAGTGAAAATACGATAACAATTAAGGATATGCTCACTAAATTGAAATCTTTTATTCCACCAAGCAGATTCAAGAATATTTATTCCGATCAAGGTCCGGCAATTATAGCTGCTGTTAGAGAATCAGGCTTTTCTTGCGATCATAAATTTTGCTTACGTCATTTTGCAACAAAAAGGGAATACATCAATGTCTATTCCGAAATTGTTGAAGTCGCTTACGCAGACCATCCTCAAAAACGAATTGACTTGATTAAAAAGTTAGAAACTCGTTTACAAGAGGAATATCCAAACCGCGAAAATAATCAGGATCTCTTTAAGTACTTAGATAGTATTAACCCATTTGAAGGATTCGCTGACTACACCGCTGGCATACTCACAACATCTCTTATTGAATCCCTTAATGCCGAAATTAAAGATAAATGGGATACATATGAACCCGCCGAACTAATTATCCGTCTCATTGAACATGAATTCAATCTTGTTAAAAATGTTTTAACAGGTGATTTTAAATCAGATAATATTATCAAAAATCTAAATGAAACTTTGAAACATTCAGATATGTTTAGCTCGGTATTATATGATCCAATTCAAGAATTATATTATGCAACTTTTGGTCGCTATACATATTGCGTAAAAATTATGTCAGATTCACAATATTCATGCACATGTAAGCACATCGAATTATACGGATTACCTTGTATTCATGTAATCGCCGTATTGAATCACTTTTCGAACAAAAATCTTCTTAAAAATTTGAATGATGCAGTTCATGCTCGCTTCAAATGTTCAGAGTTTATGACTCCTGTGGAAGATTTAATGAAATTTTATGTTGACCAAGCATCTTTAAAAATTCCCGGAATAAATTTCAACCTGGGAGAGATTGAAAAATTAAGGGGAAAAAGGACTAGGATTAAAGCATTTTACGAAAAGTGATGCTGTGTTGTTAGTTATTTATTTACTTTTTTTAATATTTTTTAAAAAAATAAAAGAAAATTCAAATAATTTTGTATCTCCCATGATATATCGACCCACGAGTACTAATGTGGCTATAATTAGAGATTGCAACTCTATTATGATCATAGTCCGGTGATATACAATAAGATTCAAATTTTGAAAGAATTAAATTAATAAAATCCCGGTGAAAAAAATAAAAACAGCTTCTAAAAGTATAGTTATCTTAAAATACGAACTTTAACACAAGTTTTTTGATCCAATAGAAAATTGAATTCTTTGAATAAATAAAATATTTTATGTATTAACATATTAAATTTCCTAATTATTTTTTCTTCTTGGGAAAATTTTTGAATTCGAATAGAAAATTCAATAAATTGAAATTGGGTTGAAAGAATTCTCCATATTAACTTGTCATATATTTCAGATCATATAAATTAAGTTAATTAAATTTTTTAAAAACCTTAATAGGATAAAAAAAAGAATTTACACACTCTCACTTTGAAAACGTAGAAAATGCCAATCTATTGGTATACATTTTAGTTTTGTTAAGTTTACAAAACAATTACTCTAGATTTTAAAGATTTATCAAGAATTTAGAGAATATCCTTCTCAAAACAACTTTAATAGCGAAGGATTAGTATTGAATCGGATTTGTAACATAATTATAGTACATTACAATACAATTTCTCCGACTTTTAAATATTTTTGAAATATTTACAAAATATGCTCTTTCTATCATCGATACTTTAATACAGAGCAAATTTAGTAAATGTCATCACGTTATTTTTTCATAAATCGTTTTCGAACTTTTGAAATATTTATTTTAAACCAGTTTTCTACATTTAATATGTGAATTATATCAAAAGTAGATGGGCGATACTTGTAAATCTATTTAAACTATTAGTTTGCTATTATTGAAGAACTTTATAATTTTTTTTTCTTATGTATGGAATTAAAGATAATTTTGCCGATTCCAACTGGTTTTTCTATATGAGTTAAATATGCCAAGTGAAATTGGACTTGCCAATATTGTAAATTGAAGTATGGACTATATATCGATTTTCATTGATTGATGAATAACTCGGAGTAATGTAATTGTTGATAATGAAAAATAGTTTTCAATTGCTGGTAAGGGCCAATGTATGTTCAATAGCTCCGAAAGCAAAAAATGCACGTTTAAAAAAAGACGATAACGATTAAATTACAAAATCGATAACGACGACGATTAAATTACAAAATCAATAATGACCCCAAAAATTTTATTTTGGAGTTAGTTTTATTGATTTTTCAATAAAAAACATTTCTAAAACAAGAAAATAAAACGATAAAATATTTATATTTTATATAAGGATCTTATATATTTAAAATAAATATCATTTTATTTTTTTCATTGGTGTCTGTCAAACCATAATACACTATTCAAAAATTCAATGTGTCTTGCGGTTTCAAAAGACACCTTCAAATTGAACGATAGCACAGACACTATTGAATTTTACCCATTTTATTTAGTTTTTACCCTTTTTATTTTTAAGAATTAATGACTGAAACAGCCGTTTTGCTATGACCTCAATCACTTTTATTTATTATTTTAAATATTATTTAATTTTATTATTTGAATAGGCCAACTTATATTTGAGAAGCTCAATTTGAGACCACTTAATACATTGAAATATCATAAATATTGAAATATTAAAAAGTGTATTTCAAAATATTGAAATTATAAAAATTTATAATACTGAAATTGAGACAAATTAATAAATTCAATGTGTTTTTTTTTTGAAATAACTCTCAAATATTATTTTTTTGTTTATTTAATGATGAATAAATATGATTGCTTTAGTCAATCATAAAAACTAATTTAAGTTTAAAATAATGAAAGGATAATTTGATCGTTTTTTAAAATACAATTATTTTTGATGATTTGCAAGAATCTTTGAAAAGAATATAATATAGGTTCTATTTTTGTAAAATTTATCCACATCATGTATTACATAAATTACGATTAAAACGATGAAAGAACCAAAAAGTGTGTTTTGTGTTTTGTTGTTGCGTGTTGGATGCGGGATCCTGTTATTTCCGAAATCGACAAAAAATTTGGAAATTTAATTTCCGAAATCGAAATTATATTAATGTTTTTAATATTCTTATATCAAAAGGATTAAAGTTCATTAAGAGAAAAACAATTCTTCTTCTTCAATCTATTGGCGCATTTATTTCTACACGCCAATAAGGAAGGGAAAATTATAAGACACCATGGTGTCTTCAAAACGCTAATTTTTGATATTTTTAACAACCCTATTATTCAGACACCTACATGGTGGCTTGGACTTCCTTGGCAAGCCAAGAAATATCTTGATGAAGTATTTTATCGCTATATGTTAAATGGTAACATATCAGCAGAAAAATATGTTCTTATATCATCAACATGGAATGCATCCGAATCAAAATTCCAGGATCCAACTCAATTAAAAGAATTGATATCACCTGAAAATGTGTTTTTGGCAACCTATAAATCACTGGAATTTTCTGGATTCAAACCTCTTCCACTATTAGCATTCATGGATGTAATGAAAAATCCTGATTATCCAAGGTTTGTTCAGCAGCTCCATGATTACCTTGATCAATATTTCTAACAAATTAAATCGGATGAATTGAATTAAATAATCATGTTTAATTTCGCCAGCAAAAGGTGTTCATTTAAGATGATTATACTATATATCAGATATGTAATAGGAAATATAATGATATTACTGGTAAATTCCATAATTTATCATTAATTTTATTCAATCAAGGTAACAAAAATACGTTTTGGATCCATATTCCTTACACAATACATACTTGACCTATGTATATGTTGTATTAATAATTGAATCAATTATAATTGATACCTCGCATCAATAACGATAGATGTTATTTGGCCGGATATTGAAAAACAATTGATGATAACAACGAAACAGCGAAGAGGTAGTATTGACAACTCAATGGTTCCTTCTGTAGAGGGCCCTTTAAAACAGACAAAATTAGTTTTAAACAATGCAATTGCCGCAGCAAAAGATTGCTTTACACCACATCGAACTAAATTAGGAGAATCTCAAATACTTATTGATAACGCAATTGCATTACAATCATCGGCCAATAGATTCAACGAATCGATATGTAATTTCAATGCAAAACGAAATAATAAATTTTTCGAGCAACTTGTTGAAACAAATAATGCATTGGAGTCAACTCTTGGGTCATTCACAGATTATGCTGCAGCAGTGAATTCCACGAGGTCTTCAAGAATTAAATCAATTTTACGTCTTTCAACAACTTTCATACCGGCTGCAATATATTGGCTTTTCCAATCACTGAAACCAGAAGTAAAGCAAATTATTATACCTAAATCTGTTATTGATCCTTTATTAGAAGAATCATTCAAAATTTATCAATCTCTCCTCGACAGTTCTTGTTAGAATAAACAGTGTTTGTATTTTATAATAAAAAGATTTAAAAATAATTTTTAATAATCATAAAATTCCCTAATTTTCTTTTACTGAGAATAGTTTGAGCGAGAATATAAACGACTTGTCAGAAATACCGGCTATATCTATAAATTTCAGCATGAGTTGCAATTTTTATCAGAAATTGTTATGATCAATTCATTATTCACTTCTAAAAAAGAATTCTTAATTATAAGACGTCAAGATTTTTCTTACACTTGATACAGAGATCAATGAAGAATATCATTTAAGAGAAATACCGCTTCATTTATCAGCAGAAAATAATAATATTCTATATTATTATTCATTTAATTGCCCATTCTTAATTATGCAAGAAATTTTATGGCGGTTATCGAGTATACGCATTAACTTAGGATATGCTTTAAACCAGTAAAGTGTTTTTCTTATTATAAAACAACACAATAATATTTAATCTTTATTCTATGTTATTAACAGACAATAAATCACATAATCCAGACATTTGTTCATAAGACAAACTTCCGCCATTGTTATGCAATCCATCTAAGTTCTTAGCTGGTGACATTTCCAATATCTTTTGGTTTGTAAATGCTGTCCAACAGTTCTCTGGAGGTAATTCTTTATCCTCTTCCAACAAAGCGTTTGTGTATTCGATTTGCAGAGGATTCATTGCCAATGCCTTCGAAACTTCACCTTCATTTGCAAGATAAAGAAGAGCTTCAAATCTTCTGTATCTAACTCTGAATCTTATCAAAGGTTTCTTGTCTTCGTCCAACAAGAACTGCAAATTCGAAAAAAACTTCGATAAAAAGTCAATGTCCAAATGTCTTGGAGAAGTTAATCCGCTGACTACGACTGGCAACAAATTACCTGTTTTCTTCTTTGGTCTATTATCATTTTGCATGTCCTTTAATTTGTCAACTTCAGTTCTAAATACATCAGCAATTTCTTGTCTGACGAATTGTCTTATTAAAGGATTTGCTATCTTAGTAGCTACATTGGAAATTGCTTCTTGTCTGCGTTCTTTCATTTCTCTTTCTCTCATCTTTCTTTCGAGTTTTTGACGGTTCATTTTTTCTTCTCTTGTTCTCTTGTTGTAGGCCTTCTTTTCGTTGGTGAAAATAGGCTTTACGTAAGAAGCCAACTGAGAATCAACATATTCTGTGATGAATTTCTGGGAAATGTCTTCAACAATCTCATCAATTACATCTGATGGAATTGTTGACAAAAATTCAATGAAAACAGGCTTCGGAGGCTCTTCAGCCTTTTGTGCCTCAAGGAGTTCTGCTTCTTCTTCCTCTTTCATCTTGCGCATCAGGTCGTCGATGTCTTCAATTTGTGGTTTTTTGTTTTCTTCGACAACTTGTGGCGGATTCTTTGGTTGTGTGACGGTTTGAGGCATGTAGTATTCATTAGTGGACTGTAAGATGAGATCTTTCCGGTCGAAATCTTCTTTGTCGATTTTCTCAAGTCGAGTGGTTTCATCAGATTCTTCGTCATCGTTCTTGAGGAATTGAGGTATGTGGTCTTTGGCGAAGACAGTAAGAGGCGGTATATCAGTATCGTGGTATTGTACTCGGATTTGCTCTGTTCTGTATAATGGATCTGAAAACTTTTGGTTTACGCGTAAATCTACATCGTTAACTTCATTCTCGGATTCTGATTCTTCCGAATCGCTGAGGTAATTGAGAATAGGAGCACAAATATTGCCACTTTGACCACGATTTAAAACGTATGGCTTTGTTGGACTAGAAATAAGCGAATCAAATTGGCACTTCGTGAAAAGGCCAAAGAATGGCTTATCGTCATCGTCCAAAAATTCAAGTTGAGGCTCTAAGAAATTTCGAATTTGATTTGGATGAGTTGTAATAATATGAGATACAACATCTGAGCGTGGTCCATGATAGCCACATATTGAGCAAGTAAATTCTTTTATTGACGTTTTATCGAGAAAATTTTCTGCAGCAGCCGTGAATGCATAAGGTAAAGTTTCTCCGTAATCAAGATCATCATATCCTTCTTCGACGTGGAATCTGTTGCATTGCAGAGTTAAATACGAATCTTTTTTCTTATTTGAAAACAATCTTGATTCTTCTTTCATAGGGACTTGAAATAAAAAAGGACATCTCGGAAGAATCTTTCCGAATCCATAAACAAATGAATCACCCTCAGTCTCCCGAAAATCTACAATGACTTTCTCGGAAGGCGGGGTAATCGTCATCAAAATTTTGATAACTTCATTTTCGTGGATAGTTTGCATATTTTAAACCCTTGTTATATAACACAAAAATCTTCTCATAAATGATCTAGGAGAATTCACAATTTTATTCAATATTTTTTTTGAAAAAGTGCATTTCAAGCTGTATCATTAACATCATGAGTTTTTGATTTAAATTTATGAATTTTATGGTCATAAAAATATGATGTTATATACAAACGCATTTAAATAATCCGTTATTATAGGAATAAATACAAATATATAGTATATTTCACTTTTGTGGTTCCCAAATATATCTATTGAAATCAAAATCACACCAATTCTTTTCATGAGGAACAGCATTTTTGATTCCAAATATTTTGAATTGCTCCTCGACGTTTGAAGGATCGTTATGCACATAAACACAATGCATTCCGGCGCGCTGTGCGGCCAAGACACCAAGATATGCATCTTCGAAGACTAAAACGTTTTCTGGCTTAAAATCACCCATCATCTTCATGGCAGAAAGGAAAATTGTAGGATCTGGTTTGCCAACTTTACATTTTTCTCCTGTAATGATGTGTTTGAAAAGTTTAATGATTGGCTGATTAACGTATTTTCTTTCGAAAGGAATTCTTTGACTTCCTGTAGCAATTGAAATAGGTATGCCCATATCATGTAGTTTGTATATGATTTGATCGATTCCTTTGATGAGTGGCAAATGTTCAATTTCTTCGTCCATCAAAATGTCTTTTTGATGAAGGAATTCTTCTGGAGTCATATTTAGATTGTAACGTTTGATAACACGGGCAGCAAGATCTGTGTCTTTAAGTCCATTAAGTTCTAGGTAAAAATCTGTCGGAAATTCATGACCTGCTATCTTATAACAAATGTTCCAGAATATTGCTGCAGAGTCTATTATTGTTCCATCACTGTCAAATATAACTGCTTTGATCACAGGACGCTCTGAAGTCATAAATCTTATAAAATCTTCGTCACTTTTTGATTTTCCAAACGAATTTGATTCATTCGCCTCTTTGAATTGCTTTGCCATTTCATTGCCATAGAATTTTCAGACCTGCAAGCCATTTCCGAAAGAAAATAAACATAATTTAAGGAAGTTATTCTCAAAAATCAAATTTGTTAGTGAAAATAGTGGCCAATTGACCAAGGATTGCATTTAGTATGTTATTGGTAGTAAAATTGTTAATTGATGTCATGTATAATCTTTCGATTCTAGCAATTTTTTCTATCAAAATAAGATATTTTATTGTATCAGTTTTGACTATAGAGGAATCAAATAGTTTTAGGGACATGCCATATAAATTTCAATTATATTAAATTTCAATTTTAAATATTGAAGTTTGATCTGCAATACTCATTTCATTAGTATACATAAAAGTCTTATTTTACATAACAAGCTGAAGATCGCCATAGCGGATAAAGTTTCGTGATTTCATTTCGTTAATCCGGAGATGATATACTTTAAGAAAGTTTTCGTCAGGATTATCATCTAATATCAATTGCCTTCTATATATTTCGGAATGCGATATCAGAATAAACTAAAATCTCATTTGACGTCAGATGGCACTTTTTGCGGCCAAAAAATAAAAAACTTTGAAAAGTGACAATCTAATAACTCCATTTGATGAATTTTTATGATATTTACACCACATTAAATATAAATCCAGATTCGCAGCATTCTCTAGAAACCATTTGCGAATATTGCAAGTGTTTAAATCAGTTAGAATCCCTTAAACAAGCTTTATGGAAAAAACCAAGTCGCGTTCAAATGCCAGGAGCCTTTCCTTTTGATGAGGAAACAGGTAAAATATATGATGCTTTGTGGAAAGCTGCACAAGCCGAAAATTATTCAACAATTGGTAAAGTCGGTCGATGGATGATGAAGTTGATTTGCCCTCCAGCAGATGATGAAGGTATGGGTAGATTCCATGCAAAATATCACGAAGCTCCAGAAGACGAAACTCGTCCAGCACCAAAACCTCAAACATCAACATCAAATTATACACCAAGCGCTCCTTCCACTACAAATACAGAATCTGTTACTCAGCAACCAGAGCCAGAACCTTCTAACGAAGGAGAGTGGCAGATTGAGGAATCTCCAGCTCGCGAAGAAGTTCTTTCTAGGAATAACACTGAGTCTGTCTCACGTCGTGCAGCAAGCAAGAAAGATGATTAAGCTCAAAATTATTTATAACCATCAGATCTGTCATGTGATAATAAAAATATTTCGATATTATTTGATTTTATTCCAAAAATATGAAAATTATTACATATCTCACTAATGTTTTTCCCATCTTTTCAAAAAAATAATATTTAATTTTTTATTTCTTTTTCAATTAAAGGAAATATATCCGCATAAAGGATGCAGTGTCGCTAAGGTTGATCAATGCATTTATCTGGGGACTTTTATTCTTATATTTATCGAAAGTAATGAATCAAGTGTTTGGATAGTACATATTGGTTCACCGCAAAATTAAAACCTTAATAACATATGTTTTACAAGTTACATAGAATATCAAATAGAAATAAAATTTATCAATAGATAATTCAAAGAAAAACATGTGACTGTGCAATGCAGATCTATATTATAGTGATTTCAATTGTGATTTTACTGAATAAAGAAAGAATTTAGAAAATATTTCGATAAAAAAAATACAACATGGTTTTATGAACAAAAATTTCACATTTTGCACAAAAACGATCCTATTCCTAAAGCAAAAGCGTGAAGTGCTGTAACATTAAGGGTTGTCTCAACTTCCAACAGATCATCTTCGACTTTCCTAATAATTATGTAATAGCTATGTTCGCTATCCTCTAATCTACAATTTTTGATGGATGCCACAACGCTGTCTGAATTTAATTCGACCTCCCATCTAAAATCATCAGTAGCAATTGGATCTACTGTCTCCAATCTCTCAGGTACTGAAGGTGGTCGCTTGTTAAAGAATACCGTTAATACTCTGGGGTGAATTTTGACTTTTGGATCTTTTCTGAAAGTAAGAGTCATGAGTTCGTCACCAAATTGATTCTCCTTCCTCAAAGAGAAATCGCAAAATGAATTTGCATGTAGAAGAACGGCTTCAAAATGGTCGCTTTTAATATGAGATTCAGAACCTTCTGAAATTCCAATTACGTGTGAATCTTGGTACGGTTTGATCTTTGCATGATACATTTGATTGCCGTTGAAGATCAATTGAAACTCATGACGGTATCCTTTAATTTTTAATGCTGATTTTCTAGAAATTTGATATGTTCGTGATATCTTTGTTCTAGGGATAGGTGCATGGTTTTGTACGGGGGTAATTGTAGGATAAGCATTAAAATAACGTGCATTATCTCTCGCTGGAATTTTAGGAAAGCGAGCGGTCCTTGGTCGCCTATTAGGATTAAGTGGTCTACCAGTTAGTGTTTCAAGATCGCGAAAACATTTAAGTTGAGAACGATCTATTGGTTTTTCTTCGGTCATTATGAATTTTTCTATTTACAAAAATTTCAATCGTTATCGAAAATTTTTTATTATATTCTTGACGTAATCATGCTAAAGAGCGTTGGCGAAAAATTGTAAACAGAGCGATAAATTTCTGGAATTTACATTTTTACAAAATATTTAATTTTTAGCATTCCGTTTTTTGATGTATAGGCATCTTAAATCTGATAGATTATATACTTCTAAGACTATGAGCCGCTTGTATATGCACTGATAAGTTGCTTGAGATTAGTCTATCTTGCAGAAAACTGGTTAACCATATTTAAACAAAAACTCACATGAAGTTGTTCATAAAGAAAAATTATCATGTAGAATAACTTACTTTTAACTGGAATACCTTTGTTTAAACATATATGATTGATGGGCAGCATTAATAGACTCCTTAATGACATTCTACATCTAAATATGAACAATATTAACTGAGATAAATATGATAACTGAACATGATAAGCAAAATTGTTATTATCAGCAAACAGAAGAGAACTCAAATGTCCAGGAATAAAATATTAGAACAAAACAGAATAATGAAAGGATTTCCCTGTATTGTGCAGATAAAATTGATACTTTTCATGCAGTGATAATATCAAAATGAGTTTACCAAATTTCTTGAAGATGTTTATTATCATTCAGGAGGTTGGATGATTTACTAAACACCACGTCAATCCTGTATCCTTAAAACTATTAAATATAATAAATACAAATATTTTAAAACATAAAAAACAAATATAATAATATCGCAACTCTATTATATAATATATAAAAAATATAAATAAAATTATTGAGGAATAACCTTTCCAACAATGAGGAATGGCACACAAACATTGTGTTGAGGCACTTTAAACTCCCAAAGAGTTTCAATAGTTTTGACACTTGTTGGTGTAAAATCAAAGATCATTTCATATCTTCTATTAGAAGAAATGATTTGAATTGGTGTTTCACATGAAATTGCGTCCTGACCAGATACCAAATGCCAATAGCTTTCGTACATCATGTTTGTAGTGTTCATTATTCCAAATTTCAATTGAGCCTTTTCGCCAACTTCTTTACTTGAAACTTCAACAACTTTGACATCTTCTGGCAAATGATATGTATAATCTGGATGCCTTCTATTAAGATAATCGCTCTGTTTAACATCGAAATGACAAATTGGTCTTCGGCTTAATCCCGTCACATTTATAAACTGTAAATCATCATGACTCATCTTTTCAAAGGTTTCTATTGCTTCATCACCGAAAACTACGCAAATGTCGCAACTGCAATCATCAACAGCGGTTGGACTAAACACAACATCAAATGATTTAACAGTGTTTGAAGGAATAATTCCTGTATATGGATCAACAGAAAACGGACAACGTTTTTCACCATCCATTGTCGAATAATTGATGACTTTCCACATATATCTAACAGCGATTTTGCTCTGGTTGTTGATTTCTATTGGAGTTCTTCTCGATTCAAACATCATTGTTGGGGCGAAATTGAGTGAATTAACTGATTTATCACCATTAACTGAGATGTTTGTTTTGATGACATCGGAAGTAGCAATCAACTTAAGAACAATATCTTTTTGTTTAGGACCATCATATGTGAATGCTGGCTCTGGTTTAGTTACAACAACTCTCTTTGATGTGAATGACTTGACAACAGGAAGATTCTTTGAAGATTGTCTTTGTATACCTCCTTTTCTTCTTGCGGATCTTCTCGCTTCTTTAGGAGGTTGAACGACAATTACTGCATCATCAATTATCATCTTGCTCTCCTTCATCGAATCATTCCATGCCTCTTTCTTCTCAAGCTTTATATAACTCCATGAACAAGTCATTTTTGTGTTCAATTTTGTTGGTTTGTCTGATTGATAAGTAACAAAAACTTCGATTGAATTTTTGGAGAAAAGATGACCACAAGAAGGAACAATAATGAAATCATTCTGCGACTGGCAACTCCATTGATATCTGATATCTTTCTCGCAGACGTTTTTCATTATGAACTTCTTTGTACATTTAGTTCCTGCAACTACATCATCAAAAGTTAATGAATCATTTTCTATATCATTTCCGTCCAAAATTAAATCTTCTATTAATCCTTCTCCATCGTAATCCATTGACAAATTAGATGAAATGTTTCCAAATACTTTAGCTTGTACAGAAATGCTTGAATGTTTCGATCTTTCTGGTCTAAATATGACAGTGAAATTGAAAATTTCATTTGGTCTTAAATTAATTGGCTTCGTTGCTTCTAATCCTTCCAATATGAAATCTGGATTAGGTGAAACATGGAATGTAACATTACTATCAATAAGAGATCTGTTGGCTATCGCAACTTTATGTTCTTTTTGTGTTCCGACCAAAGTTCTTCCGAAACTATAAGATTTCGATTTCGCATCAACAAACTCAATCAAAGGAAGGGATCCTTTGCCTTCCAGCATGATTCTCATTGTCTGTGGAGGATCCTTTCCATATGCTTTCACAACACCTTGAAGAATTGATGTAAAAGTTCCGCTTTCATTTGGACAAAAAGTAACATTCAAAATTGCTTCTTCTTTTTCAGGAATTTCCAATTTCGCATTGTCAATTTTGAAACCTTTTGGCTCTGAGAGAGTAAAATCAACTGAAACAGGAACTTGTTGTATATTTATTATCGAAACTGGTACTGTACTCTCTGATTTAACTCTCAAAGCTGCGAAATGCAAACATTTTTCATCTTCAAGAAATGCTGTACAATCATTATCAAGCAAATCACCTCTCAAGCACAATCTCTGGCCTTTGAAGATCTGTTCGAAGTCTTCTGTTTCTATTGTTGGAATGAAACATTCTGACTTGATTGTGTAAGGAATTCCATTCTCATCTTGAACTGGGCAATCCGTGATTTTTAGAAGCAAATTTATTGAATGACAAACAGGAAGAGAATTCACGAAGTCAACAGTAATTGTTGCTGTTTGATTTGGATTAATAATTCCCCACCAAGTAGATAATAAGAATGGACCATATTGGATCTTTTGGTTTCCTTTTTTATTCTTTTTCGGCATTTGTTGTTTCGTTTTCGCTGGTTTGTTAACTTTTGGTTTTTGCTTTCCTTTATTACTCCTTGCTGATCTCCTTGAACCTGTGCTTTGCTTTTCAGCATCGTCATTATTTTCTTCTGGTATTACTTGGTGAATTTCAAACTCGAATGGAAAATGACCGACATTTTTGATTGTAAATGATTTTTGTGCAGGAGTATTAATTATACAGGGTCCAAAGTCCAAAATATTCGTTGGAGAAATCTCGTACAAAGAGTTTGTTGTTTCTGCATGCAAAATAATTGGCATGACATTTTGCTTTTCCTTCAAATCTTCATCGCAAACAATCAAATTCAAAACTTTTTTGTTTTCAAATTTGACAATTTTCTTTGCAGAAAAAGTAAATGTTACTGCGAGAGGTTTCTCTGATGGAGAGATTGTTCCTTCCAAATGAGAGATCTTCAAGTAAGGGAAGTTCTTATTTAAGTCAAATTTATAATGTAATGGATATTTTCCTTTGTTTTTGAGTGTGCAAACTAAATTTTTGCTCTCATTACATTTGATGACATTAAAATCTAACATTGACATTCCTTTAGGATAAATTAAATCAAAGGATGTATCGAATGTCTCGGCATTAATACCAATGTTATAGTTATTAGCAACTTTTGTCTGTTTCTCATCATAAACATCAATAATCAAAGTCTTTTTGACTATTATTGGTTTTGGAGAAGAAAATTTGATATCGACTTTGAAAGTTCCTTTTAATGGAATCAATCCTTCTTTGCAAGAGAACTGAAATTGATTTCCTATTTGTTTGATATTCTTAAACTTGAAGTAGCAAGGTATTTTTCCATTATTTCGAAGCTCTAAAGTCAAATTTCTTTCTTGTTTTGGCAACAATTTTTCGAAATCTAAAACTTGAACAGAAGGTTCAATTGTTGGATTTGTTACATCTGCAACGAAATGTGTGATCAAAGGCTTTGGATTGTCTTTAATGAAGAATGAAATTGTTGCCTTGTATAACTCAATATTCATTGGATTGAAACCAATTTTATATTGATATTTTTCATTTGGTTGTATTGTGAATTCTTTTGTTTCAACAAACCAAGTATTTTTCGGAGCATTTGAAGAGATGTATGGCATAATAATTGTCTCCATTGGTGAGTTGTTCTTTATTGTTAAAATCTCATTGTAAGCAGGTTTGAATCCTTTTGATCCTGGCTTAACTAAGGAAGGATTTATTGGACCAAAATGAAATTCATTCAAACTCGAAATGAATGAACTTTTTGTTTTCAATCCTAATTTCGGAACAACTTTCGAGAACAAAGATGTTGGATCTCTATCTATATCAGGAGAAGTAACGTTCGCTTTCATTGGCAAAGAGAAAATGTTATTAGCTGCATCTAAGATTGAAAACCTTAGAATGTCAATGTATTCGCCTTCGAGAACTCCATTGAAATATGCCTTTAATGAAACACTTTCTCCTGGATTTATTTCCCATCTCTTTGTATATCTAATTAAATTGTAATCTTCAAACAAAGCGGCTTCATCTTCTGATTTATTAGCGCTTAGTTCTGACTCAATTCTCTTTTCTCTTCTAGACATTCTTGCCTTCTTTAAGTTCTGTGGTGGAGGAGGTTTCGGAGTTTGTTGAGGAATTGCTGGAGCTTCATCATTCCAAATTCCGAAATTACTTGGAGGTATTTCAAGATGAGGCATTTTTTCATCTGGATCCATACTAGGAACAATTAATCTCATTGGCTGTAACAAGTTAACTAATATCCTTAATCTTAATTTGTCTAAATCAGGGATGAAAGATTTCCATGACTTTTCGTTTTGATAAGGAGTTTCGCCTGTATTTATCAAAAGGCAGTTTCCTTTATGAGGATAAGTAACCTCAACGATTTCATCTCCTTTTCTGTAACTTAAAGGATCAATTGCATGGTATTGATCGCAATCTTCATTTATTCTTTGAGCAATTGTACCGAGAGTGAAATTATAAACATGGTTAATTTTTTCTTTTTCACCTAATTTCAGTCTCGTTCTACTTTTAATTGCGTTCAAACCTTTCAAACTTGCTGTTGATTTTTGTGATTTCAAAGAAGCTCTTGATCCTGATTTGAGGTTTGATTTTGAAGCATTTGATTTAATTTGTGCTTTAGTTGGCTGAGGCTTTATTTCTTTTGGAGGCAAGAACTTCATTCTGTATTCAGTTCTGTACCTATCAGCAACAATTTGTTCTATCTTAGTTAGTTGTGAATACTCTTCTTCATCCATATTTAAGTATCTCTCAAGATCTTGATTTTTCATCACTTGCTCGTTATATTGGATTTCAGAGTTGAAATCAATTTCATGCAAGTTAATATCAGCATCTGATGCTTGCAGGAAAACGCCAAAAACAAAATGTCCTGTTAAACAACTAAGCAACAAACTCAATGTTTGTTCATAACCAGTTTGAAAATTATGAGGAAATGCAATGAATGGATCTTTTGCAATTTCATCTAAAACTCCTTTGTGTTTAAGAGTTTGGGCAAGAAATTGATCTGTTTCTTGTGGATCTGGCATACCGTTTAATCCATCAACAATGAAGCCTTTGATATATTTCTTTTGTTTAAGTCTTTCTGTGAGAATTTCAACACATTCTCCTTGAGTTTGTTTTCCCATGAATAATTCTTGTAAATCAAGGATTTCCAAGCCAAGATATTTAGCAATTCTCTTTGCGCATGTTGTTTTTCCACTCTTTGTAACTCCATGTACTATGATACAAACAGCGAAATTACTTACAACATCTTTGTTTGATTCTAAAATTAAATTGGATTCTGTTGAATTCACAGTCAACATTGTACTTTTTCCAGCCATTACTTGTTCATACAACATTTGGAAATCAAATTGATTTGAGTATACAGTTATTGGACTATTTGTTGGATTGATCATCTTGAAGTCCATGAATAGTTTATCAGAGAAAGGTTTCGTTGGCTGGAAACATAATTCTGGTGGATCAAAAACAAGTTTTAATTGAGATCCACTTCCTTTAACTGTTAAATACATTGTTTGTGAACTGTGTTTGATTGTAATTGGGAATTGCATTGAATAATTCTTTTCTTGTGTAGGTGAGAATGTTACATTAATATTAATGAAATTATTTGGTGGTAAAGAACAAGTTGTTGTTGAGCATTTAAATGGATTATCTTCTTTCCTAAGTTTATGAATAATTGATGGAGATTCACAAGGAGAAATCGTGAAATCAATTGGCAAAGCATTGTTATTCCTTATTTGAACAGATTTGATTCTCTTCTGACCAATAATTGTCTGTTCGAAATCTAAATGATTCGTTGAAAATTCCAATGCTGGACTCTCTAATTTTGCTTTTATTTGAATCAAATAAGCCGATTCATCATTAAAAACTAAAGGAACATCATAAATAACATCATCTGTTTTGTCATCCTTTCTCTTCTTTGTATCAAATCCAAATGCAACACTGAATCCATCATCCTTGCTTATATTTGTGAAATTAGTTTGTTTCACATAAAATCCGGTATCAATTAAGTTTGAATCAAAAATTTCAAAAGAAATTGGAAAAGGAACAATTGAATTGAAATCAAAAGACATCTCTTTTGAATCTCCTAAAATAATTGTTCCCATATCAATAACAAACTTTGAGTTGTATCTGCCTTGGAATGTTTTTAATCCATGCTTTTGAACAACTGATCTTGTTTTTGGAACTTTTTCTAATAATCTATCTTTCATCATATCATATTCTATGTTTGAATAATGTTCTCTTGATATTTCATTAGCTTGGAGGATTTTGAATACATTTCTTCTTGGTTTTTTCATGAAGATCTGGTATAAAGGATCATCACTAGCTCTTGGAATATTAGTTTGAAGTTGAAAAATGAAAGAGTTGACTTGAACTTGTATTTCAACCTCTTGGAATTCATCAAAACAAATATTAAAACATTCTTTTAATTGTAAAGGAACTCCTGCAACTAAAGAAACGTTTAAAGTCTTCATTTCTCCAGGACTTAATACTCCATTTGATGGTTCAACAACGAACTGGCTAAAACCGGATCTATAAGGAGTTTTAACATGGAAAGGAAGATTAACTTGACTTGTATTTTCTATTATTACAATACTAGTCAAATTGTCTATGTAGCTTCTATCTCCAAAATCAATTTCTGTGGGATTGACTTTGTAATCTATATCAGCACTTCTTCCCATCAGTTTGAAAACATAATCAGGACCACCAATTACGTGACAAACTGCATTGATTTGGAAATCTGATTTTGTTTCTGACACTTTTGAGTAAAAAGAAACATTTATATTGACTGTTTCATTTGGTTTTAATGTTCCTCTTATAGGACAGATATCGAACACGGTAGATATATCAATATCATTGTCGTCATACAATAAAGTCCATTCATATTCAACGTCAACTTTACTTGTATTCTTCATTTTATATGATTTTTGTCCTTCAGTATTTTTCAGCAATAATCCGAAATCAATTTCTTTGTTTTGAGGGAAATCGAATGATAAATTAGGGAACATCATGTTTGCTATCAAGTCAACAGTAAATGTATGTGGATTGTTCTCAATAATGAAGTTCATTGTTTGAGTAATTGTTTCGGAACTGAAATCTTCCTTAAAACTTGGATCAAAAATCACATCAATATCATAACTTTGTCCAGGTTGTGTGTTTAATCTATTTGGACTAACCGAGAAAGGTTCTTGGCATTCAATGTATATATCTAATGGCAATTCACCTTTGTTCATTACTGTGTTTGTTTGATACATTGCCATTAACAAAGATTTTGATGGTTTCATGTCATTGTTATTTAATGTTTCTTCTTGAATAGCATCGTGAACATAATTGAAGTACATTGCGTTCTTGGAGAATGATAATGAATGACAAATAAACTTTCCACAAAGTTCTGTATTAAATATTTCTAATGTTTTCTTTGAAGATAATTGAGAACAAACAGCTTTGATGTTGAATTCATTTGGAATATTTGATGTCAAAGAAATAGTATAAGGAATCTTTTCGTTGGGATATATAACTTTAATATCTGGTTCAATAGAAAGTTTAAGATCTCTTCTGTTTGTTCTTCTAGAATCCCATTTAACTTCTAATGGTTTTGTTCCAAAATTTGTCAAAACAAAACTTTTGGAAACAATATCATCAACAAAAGAATATCCAAAATCAATTTTGTTCATGTCAATCGATGAAATGATTGGAGATCCTTTTCCTCTTGCTTTCATAGGAATAGTTATAGGAGTTAAATGTTCAATAATGATATAAAATTCTCCTGTAAATAATTGTGCATCAGTTAATTTTGCAACAACATTAAATGAATGTGAAGAGTTTGGAGGAATTGAACCTTCATATTCATTTATTGAAAAGCATCTTCCTCTGACTTGTACTTTATAATCTGCAGATATAGCGCTTTTGTTTTCGAACACAATTTCATGATTATTTTCAATCAAAACATTTTGGATTCCAAAATCAATTTCTTTTTCTGCATAATTGATTATTGGACCAATCGAATTTGCGTTTACATAAAATGATAAAGGATTCATGTTACTTCCTAGTATCTTAATGAATCTTACTAAATGTATACTGCCTATTATTTTAGGAGTAATATAGAACTTTACTTCTGTAAGCTTCATTGCTGGAATGTCTCCTGTTCGCTTTTCTATTTCGAAATTTGCTTCCAAAATTGTTGGATCTGTTGGTTCAATGAACTCATATTTGGCCGGGAAGCCTGTTCTGTTGCATATTTTAACAGTTAATGGTGTTCTCTTGTTAATAAACACTTGGCCAACATCAATCTCTGGTTTAATAATTGAAACTTCAGGACAAATACATTCAGCTTTTATTGGAATTGTTTGAAGGACTTTTTCGTATTCTGGACTTGTAAGTTGGAGAGAAAGATCGTAATTGCGAAGTGTGTTTGGTAGAAATTCTAGTTTCAGCTTCTGTTTTGCGAATCCTTGAACTGTTCCATGGTTTGGTAAAATCGAAATTTCTCGAAGATCAAAAGTTGGATCTTGGTGGATTGCAAGGTCATAATTAAATGGTATTTCACTATCATTTGTGATTTCAAGTGTTTGTGTATATAAAAATCCAAAAGAAACTGTTCCAAAATTTATTGTTTTTGGAGAAATGTCAAATGTTGGTCCAATAACGCGTCCTCTTATCACAAGTGATGGAGACATGTATTCTGCACCTATAATTGATATATTAAATATCTCATTAAAAAGTCCAATATGATTTGCAATTACATTGATGTGTATTGGTATTGTTTGTCCAACATTTAGACTTCCGCGATCTGGATTGAATTCAAAACCGATCTGTCTGTCTTTGTAATCATTTATTTCATAGTCGAAAGGTATCATTCCGTTATTTCTTAATAATATTTCATATTCGTAGGATTTGTCAAAACTGATATGACCAGCATTGATAGATTCTAAATTTATCTCTGCATGAGGTGGAATTCCTGATCCTTGAAGAGGGAATGGAATCCTTTCTTTTGTATCTATATTATAAAGGTATGCGGTTTCATTAACTTGTTCTTTTTGCATTGGTGTAAACGAAACAATGACTTGTTGGTATCTTTTAGGCCAAATTTCCGAACTTGAATTTTCGAATTTGAAAATTTTTGATTTAAAAACAAGATTTTCTGCTTTGTTTTGTCGATACTGTGGTGATAAATCATCTAAACCGGAAAATAAGGTATTTTCTTGCTCTTCAGATGAAAATTGCCTCCATTCATATCGCAAAAGTTTATCACTATTGTTTATAATTTTAACCACCAAGCGTGTAGTGGCTCCAAACACAGTTGGTGGAAAAAGACCCATTCCAGGATCAATGGAATAAGAGTTAATAAACATGGAGAGAATTTTTAAACCGGCAAAAAATTTTCCTCACAAGATTTTATCTGGTGATGGAATAAATATACAAAAAATAAGCGCTAAATAGCTGTGTATTATTGTTCCATTAAATTTATTTTGTGTTTGTCGCATAAATATTGAGAAATAATAGAGGTCGCATTGCAATGTCGTTTTTAGTGATTTCCCTCAATGTTGAATATTCCTGTGTTATAGGTAGAACAAAGGAACAAGTTCAAGCAAATTATTTTACGAAATTATGAAATAACTTGTTTTCTATTAGAAAGTCTATTTTATCCACAAAGAATTAGAATTCTAGAATCAAGTAATCCGAATTTGTCTTTATGATATTGGAGACTATTTGTAAGTGTACATCCCAACAAAAATCATAAAGCCTTTTTTGACATCGGAGCAGTCCCTCAGGATAACTTTTAACATGAGGAACTTCCCGTCCAACACTAACGAGTCCTGAATAAACACTATCGACTTTGTCGAAACTAAGAGGAAAATTCTCTCCAAAGTGATCAAGAAGATCCACAATGGTGTGACGAACTGAGTTAACCCACTCCCATTTAACTACAATTCTTCCTGTAAAGACAAGGAACAGAACTAATGCTCTCCCATAACTTGCAAATAAAGGAGGAAAGAAGAAACTCCAGTTGGCACCAAAATGCTGGGAACAAATAGCAAGTGGATTTGCATCTTTTCTTAAAAAAATATTGGGCAACGTAGTAACGTAATTTTTCCAAATTATTCCCTTTATCGAGCCTCTCTTCGGTGTAGAAACAGTCGAATTCTCTCTTTTTGATCTCTAATATATATTCAACAACTATCCATGGAACATGTATTGTTTTATAATCTGTGCTATCTTCTGTTGGCCGGTATTTAATCTGAGAATCTTTGCCTATTTCTGATTCACTAAAACCAAGCTTATATTTCGATTTATCCCAGGGCATTCAGGAATTGAAAATTGATTCAGAAAAACTAAAAAATCTTAAAAACCGTAAAATTGTTCTCTGACAATATTATATATTATCATAATCATTCAATGATTTAAAAGTTTTTAGATCTTATTGGATGCAAAATATAAATTCTCAGACATACGATTATTTTTGATTCAAATGCTGTTCGGCATTAAAAGCAAAAATAATCATATACCTGAGAATTACACTTTTCCGACATTTTTGGGTCGCTTCGCGCCCCTGACAAAGCGTCGGAAAAGTGTAAATTTTCAAAGAAAACTGCAATTCAATCAGAAAATGTAATCGTATTACAACATCTTTGATCAAAAAAATAATAAAATTGTTTCATAATGTTCATCTCTTGCTTTAATATTTATTGTTAATTATTGATAATTTTGAGAAATTTCTTTATTTTTCCTTGAAATTCTGAGTCTAGTTGAGAATAAGCATAAAGATAGAGTTTGTGAATTAAGCTGTAAACGCCGAAATAAGTTGTAAATGCTACTAATTCGACTAAATTATGAATTTATACTACTTAAAGAACCATTTGGTATGCAAAAGTCTATCTTTGTTGTTTCTAAAGTAAAATTACTAAAGTGTATGTTATTAATGTAAAAACTACAATGTTTTTTTCGAATAATTTTATTTATATTATCATACAAAAAAAAATATTAAAAAAATAATTCACTTACATGATTTCTTTAATCCTTCAACGAATTGAGGAAGGATTGAAGATACTTTTGGTTCATTTGGATAAAGAATAGGCAACTCTGCGAGATAGTCAGCGAATCCATTCTTAATCAGAAAAGCTGCATGGTCCTGTGAACTTGTTGCAACTAACAAAATTTGCAAAATTGGAACTGCAGCTTCAAATGGAGGTTTTCGATTATAAAGGAATGACATACAAGCACCAAATATTTCATCATCTAAACCGGATATTCCACATCGATCGATATACTGCAAAACAAAAATAGAAAGACCAACAGGAACATTGTAATCGTCACTTTTCATTAATGCTACAAAAGTGTCAGTAAATTCTCTTGTCATTTGGAAATTGTGTTGTTCGAAATTGATGGACAAGATGAACTGTATCATTTCGACATCCTTCTTTGTATTCTCTCCGACACTGTTAAACAAAGCGCAGATCAAAGAAGAGACGTCAAATTGTTGATCTTTCTGTAAAACTTCTTTGATGAAAGACAACACAAACTGGTTTTTCGTTTGTTTGTAGTTTGAAACCATGAACTGCCAACCCTGTTGATAAATGGCTGGTGCTAATGGTAATACGTGTATTAGCTCTATTGATGCTTGAAGAAGTTCATTGTTATTTGTTGCAAATGCTCCGAAAATCGGATTCCACAATTGCAAGCCACAAATTACTTCAGCAATTCTTGGATAAACAGCTCCTGATTTCAAGATATCCAAAGTTCCCAATCCAGGACCTGCAATCCTCATCATTGGAGCTAACATTCTTATGCATTCATTAGCATCTTTGTCGTTATTCGCCCACGTATTGTTATTGAGTTTTTGAGTGACACTTACGATGTTCTTTTCCATTTGTTCTGTTGCAGGGATATCTAGCAATTGTAGCATTTTCTTCTGAAGAACAGATCTCAACATCAATATAATGGCTGTGATAGATGTAACAGAAGCAGGAAGCATCGCGGCTGTTGGACCAAATGACTCAATAAATGATGATAAAACAGGAATAACATGTGCTTTGTCAAGATATTTAAAGACTAAGCCAACATGTTGTTCCGTGGCGATTAAAGTGACCATGTCAACCATTACAGGAGGTTGAGACATAACTAAGACTTGCTTGAGAATTTCTTCACGTTTTGTGATATTAGGAGCGAGTTTTCTGATGCAATCAACAACAAATTCAGGATAAATATTCCAAACTTTAAGCAAAGCCAAAGCCAATCTATCTGCGGAGATTTCTTTCTTTTCTATCATTAAAAAGATAATTTGTTTGGCTAAGTCTTGGACAACAGTGTTACTGGCCATTTCTATTAAATAAACAACTTTGTCTAAAACATCTTCTCCAATGATATTTGCTTCAATCATCTGTTGCATCGTGTTTTGGACTTTTGGATCAATTGCGGAAGCGGAAAGAAGATCTTTGACTAATGTTGTCTTGTCATGTTTCTCGCGATAGTATCTTTCCATGACAGCTTTGTGAACAGGAGCTGTTTCTTCAATCCATTTCTTAAATTCTGCTTTATTTGTACCAGGAACAACGTATTCGCCTGTTTCTAAGAGGGTTCTGACGTCTTTCATGGTGGGACGAGCTGATTTCTTGTGTGCCCAGCAGCTCTGAATGAGATTCTTGTATATTGGATCGGAGTTTGGAGGAAATTGTGGTCGCATTTTTTCTTTCAAAACGCCAACAGCGATTTGGAGAAGTCTCATCTGAGTATAAGGCATCTGTTGTGTAAATAGCTCCCATAAAAGAATGCCGTAAGCGTAAACATCGACACAAGTGTCATATGATCCGTCTCCAGAAAATAATTCAGGAGCCATCCACTGGGCAGTGCCTAATTCGCATGTCATGTTGGGTCCGATGTATCTGGCAAGACCGAAATCGCAAATAACAGCTCGCCAATTCTTGTCCATCAAGATATTCGGTGGTTTCAAGTCTCTGTGGACCATATGGTTAGCATGAACGTATTCTAAGCCACGGGCAACATCAATGGAGATCTGAGATAGCAGCATTGGCTTTTTCATCTTCTGATTTTTACCATGCAAGATTTCATAAAGATCTCCGTTGGGAAGAAAACCAGTAGCAATACAAAATGGTGCTGTAATTGTGACACCAGCTAATTTAAGAAGGTTTGGATGGTCTAAAGCGAGCATTGAATCGATTTCTCGCTTCAAATAACCAACTGTGCGCGGTTTGAGGTTTGCTGGCTTCAGTTCCTTAATGGCAAGCTCCTCATTAGTAGCACGTAACTTCGCAAGGTGTACTATAGCGTAACCACCTTGAGCTATGTTTTCATCTGTAATTTCCCAGTCGCGATGCCTAAGAATTGCTTTATTAGTCTCAGAGTTTTCGCGAGATATTTGCTTAACTTCTATGATTTGGCGTATTTTGACAAGTTTTGCAAGAACGGTTTTCTTAATCATTGGAGGTATTGCATTAAACATGTTAGAAAGTATCTGATATTCTGAAATTAAGTCTAATGAATGTGCTAGAGGTAAAGTATCTGTAGAATCAAAAGAATTAAAACAAAAACTCATTGAAACTTCGGACCACACTGTCCATAACTCTGCCAAATCGTTGAATTGTCTGTTTAAATCATTACTAAGAAAGAATTTAAGCCAGTTGTGCTTCTGATAATCTGAAATTATACCCATGAATGCGGCGCAACACTTTAAAAATTCGAATAATTTAATGATTTGATCTGGTGTGAGATTTCCTGTGAGTTTTGCTAATTTATTTCGAAAGTTATCTAATTCAATACATATAGCTGCAATTTTTTTTCCGTTACAGACAACTCTTTCAACAATTCTATCTATATTTGCATATACTTTAGCAAACTCTGCATTCCAAACGTCGGCACTTCGTGGAAATCCGTTCCATGTCGCCATTTTAGAATGAAGATTTTTTTCTGTATCAGGAAAAAAAAACTCTCTCTAAACTGTTGACACGGTAATTGAAATCGGATATGAAGTCTGAAATAATGAAATTTGTCTTAACCATAAGTACCATCAACTCTTTACATAAGTTTCATATTCAATATCCTGGTTTTTAAAAAATTCTAAATTTTATATTTACTTCATTCAAGTTCTCAAGAAGAGGACAATGATAAAAATCAATCATGCTTCTTAAATTTAAGATCCTTGTATCCTATTTAAATAATCATAAGGTCGATTATTAATATTAGCATAATAGTATTCTATGCATAGTAAATCTTCGAACTCTACCAATTGGTGGATGCTCATGATGAATATTTACTTCATCTTGAATATGAAATGAACTATTTGAAAATATACTTGAAATCTGATGAAATCTCATATAGAAAATCTAATTTCTGTGTACAAGGAGGTATTATGCTATTATAATGATTGGCTAAATAAAAATATAAAATATTTTTTGAAATCAAGATTTAGCCTTTCAAGAAAAAGCAAATATGCGATCCCTCTTTCTGAATTAGATGATCAGCAAAAGTCTTCAACAAATCAGAAGCATAAAAATGCTACTCAAACTAAAAAATTAACGTTAGCACAGCAATACCAACTTGACTCTAGCATAAGATTATCAAGTACTAATGCAGTTCCTAAAATAATGCAAATTGATGTTAAAAGTATCTCAATTGAACCCGAAGTTACACAATCAAGATTGGATCTTGAAAATCAATATAAAATATTATGGGAACAGTATAGCAATGTAAGAAATGAATCAATTGAACTTAAAAATCAAAAGAAAGCTCTACTATTAGAAGTGGCATCAATTAAGAAACAACAAATTCGACTTCAGTAATTGTTAGAATTAGCAAAATCAGGTAAAAAGATTGATAAACCAAAAGAAACGAAATAATTGAACATTATTTATTCATTACATCTTCTTTGAATTTGCTTGGAGCAAATCTCTCAGAAATCTTTCTGATCTTGTTTTTTATCATGTTTTGTTTGCTTTGTTTCATATGCGTAAAATAATAAATTATACAAACGATATTTCATAGATTTAATACCTCTGGCATATGTTTTAACCTTGTATACATGCAATTCTTAGGAAATAAATTGATAATAAGCCAAATTTAAAATTGGCAAAATTATTTAGGATGACAAACTAAAAATCAACTTACTACAGTTAGTATGTGATAAATAATGCATAATCACAATGAATTTCTTTCGCCCTTCTCCAGATAATGAGATTTTTCTTGGTATCTCAATATTTGAAGATTGTTTCATAAATAATATTGAAATATGGCAAGACATATTCATTGTTGTGCTGCAATTATTCTTAATGTTTAAGTTTTAAAGTGAGATATGTTCCTAAAAGTAAAGAGAGGATATTTCTCTAGGATTTTGCAAAGGTAATGTTCAAAATAACCGTAAATGGCAAATATATCAAGGATCAAACGAACTTTTCGAAGGTCAAGTTAAATTTGATTAATTATTTTGTAATCAAATTTAAGATCTAGCAAAGAAGGTTCCTGATGCTGATGTAGCAACAATTTTCATAGTTACACACATATCCAGCAACAATACGATTAAAAAAAATTAATTATTTCCTTTTTCCTTTTTTCCCTTCTTTTCCTCCTTTACCTTTACCTTTTCCTTCATTTTTATTTGGCACATACTGAGCAAATGTCACGGGAGGTGCTTTATCATTGTGTTTAATCATAATTGGATCAATATGATTATTTTTATCTATTTTAAGGAATCCGCCTTTATTTTTGAATTCTCCAGCATACCATGGTGCTGAAAATACAGTAATTACTGAATAATCTGGTGCAAAAGGATATTCAATTCCTTCTTCAGCCATTTGATGAGCTCTGATGATTTTCGTTAAGTTATTAGCCTCCATAAACTGCTGTGCAGGCTTTTGGCCCCATTTAACTGTTAATCCTCGTTCACTTGGAGCGAAATCTTCTACATCTTTTGCAGGATCCGACCAAACAAGATCTGCAAGGAACCCATGTTCCTGTATTTGAGTTGGTCGTGGTAGTGCTCGAATTTGCTCAAGATCATGAAGATCTGGAGTTAATCCTCCATGAACGCAAAAATACGAGTTATTAATTAACGCTGCAAGAGGAAGAGTATCAAAAACGTTAATAAATTCCATGTAAGTGGCTTTGTTTTGTTTTGAACTACATTCGACAGCAAATCCGTATTCTTCAGTCATTTCTTTAGTTTCATGATTTCCGCGGAGTAAAAACATATGATTTGGATAGCGTACTTTTAATGCAAAGAGTAAACATATGACTTCAAGTGATTGTGTACCTCTATCAACGTAATCACCTAAAAATAGATATCTTGAATTTGGTGGAAATTCTCCATCTTGAAAAACAGTCATTAGATCAGGAAATTGTCCATGTATATCTCCTACGACATTTATCGGTGTCCTTAACTCTAAAATATTTGGTTCTTTCATAAATAATTCTTTGGATGCGTTTAATATCGTTAATATTGTTTGGTTTTGTAGTTTTGGAGGTGTACCTTTGCTTCTTGTTAGTAAGTTTATGATTTCATCTGCTGCTTCCCGAGCTTCTTTCATTTTTTGTTTTCCTTCAAAATTTTGACAAAATCCAAAAAAAAGTGGCACCTGAGTATATTGTTTCTGCTTTATCTTATCATCGAAACGGAATCCATCCACATTATGAGTATGAAACAATGATATACTAGGGACTAAAGAATATTAATATTGCAAAAATCCAATTGTTCGATGTTCAACTCATCATTTCTTGCATTAAATTGATACCTTTATTTTTTCGAAATATTACAACTGTAGCAACCTTACGCATTGCTAATGATAACCAATGCACTATTTTGGCATAATAAATTTATAACTATTTTCAAACAACAGATTGACTAGTTACTCTGGTTTAGTATTATGCATACTATCAGGTGATAAAATCACAAATATCTTAGCTTAACTTCCGTTTTATTATGAGATACAGATCTAATGTTGCTTGTTCTGTAGCAATAGTCACTAACAGATAACATGATTATGATGAGAAGTCTAAATGTGCGAGTTTAATACGCATTTAATTCAAATTTATCATCGAATTGCAAATCGAAATATATATCTTGAACTTACCTCTGAATAAAATCATGATGTTATTGACTACTTTCTAGATGTTTACTTTAGTTTCTAATCATGTGAAGCAAATCATTAATATTAACGGGAAATATTTTAATATTACTAACAATGGTTGGTTATCTATATAGAATTATATAGTGTATTTGATAGTAAACTATAAGTGAGTTAAAATTTTGGAAAATATGCATCTTTTTAAATCATTGAAAATAATAAATTGACCCTGCTACATAATTGACATATTTGAGAAGATAAATTATAGAATAACAAAAATAATAAGGGTTTGACGATTTCAAACACCATAAAAATGCTTTATTTCTCTCTAAATTTATAAATTTAGAATTTTTTAATCTCATTTTTCCAAAAAAAATCGAGAATTGAAAAAAACGATATCATATTCTTGAAAATTGCTTTGGCATTCTCTAAAATAGAAAAAATTTGGAGAAACTCACCAAGGAGAACTTCATTCCAGGTATCCAAGACAATTGCTTTCAGTCAAAAAAGCCTCGAAAATTTTAAATGTTGATATCGATTTTCATCAATCACTTAATATCCATTGTTTTCAGTTAATGACATCGCATACCATTAAATTCTAATATATTTGAACATACTATATATCGTATTTGAAACTTATCAAAATTTCGGACAATTTAACAATACTCCAACTATCATATATACATGCTACTATGCTATTTTATACTAAAATTTATACAGAGAATGTATAATAAAAATAACAAATACTTTATTCATAAGAAATGCTAGTAAAACTTTGATCATTTGGATAAAATAAAGAAAAGACATATCAAATTACTTAGATAGTCTCTTGTAGACCATGTATCCGAAACCTACGACAAAAGCAGACACGGCTCCAACCAATCCGATTGTTTGGGCAGTAGAAATCTCTGATTTTGGTTGCTCTTGTGCAACTTGCACATCTTGTTGTACTTCCTGATCATTTGATAGGTCTTGTTGTTTAGATTTGGCATCTTCCATTATTTTTTGAAGTAAATCGTTTGCTCTATTACGTAATTCTTCGGCTTTCTTTAAATCCTTCTCTACACCAAGTCCCTGCTCGTAAAATTGAGACATTTCTGTGAGAAGAGCTGGAGATATGTGTTCTTCTTGTACTAAATTGAAATATTCCATTGCCTTTTTGGCATCTTTATGATCGTATTGAAAGTTTGATATCGGTGAGTATATTTGTCCAAGTGTGAAGTAAGCAACACCATATCCACCTTCACCAGAACGAATTAAGTACTGAATGCCTGTTTCGACGTCGCCATAGCGTGTTGCATAGAGAAGGCCAACTTGGAAGCAGCATAATGGTTCGTTGTATTGATCAGCTCCTTGTTTTAAGAGAGCCATTCCTTCTTTCTCACGGCTTTCTGTATCAAGGTATATTCCACCGAGGACTTGCAAGGCATATAAGTATCCAACACGTGCAGAATTTTCGAGGAATTGATAAGCTAATTTATGTGAATTTTCATCATCGGGAACAGAACTTAATTGTTGGAAAATAAGGAATGCAGACTTTGGATCAACCATTTGGAACTCAGGATGGATCATTTTGATCAGAATTGGCCAAGGCTCATTCTTTTCTTTTAATATCTTAAAGGTATATGTTGTATTGTTTATGGATGCTTCGATTCCTAAAGCTTTTGCAAAGAGTAAACCGCAAACTATTGGAACATATTGTGGTATTGTAACTATAATTGCTGTTTTTTCTTCATTTAACTTATATTCAATGCAATCGGCATTAAATTCCTCTGGAAAATTGAATTCTACTGTGCAATAGTTACTATTGTCTGTGTATTTCCACTCATATAAATCCTTGTACTGAGTTTTTATCATTGAATATTTGTCACTTTTTTGTAAACCCGATCATAAGCAGAAAACTTTTATTAACTAATACATAGTAAATATTCTTTGGACAGTTTAGTTCAGGCTGAAACATTCATTTATTTGTCAACTTTATACTTAACAAATTAGAGGGCCAACATATTTCAGGAAACACCTTGTCATATTATGCAAACTGATATGTATATGTACTATATATACAATTGCCTTAGTTGTCTCTCTTCAAAAAAGATCACATATGTAAGTTTAAGTTCTTTCACATAAATTGATTTTCGTTTCAAAATTGAGAGCAATATTTATTTAATACTTTCATCTAACATTAGAATTTAACATTAATTATCATGAATAGAAATTGAAATAGTTTGTTTGCTTGAGGTGTCAAAAAATATGGGTGAGAAACAACCAATTTCAGCAGATAATATTCCATCCTTGAAATCAATGACATGGCGTGCCGACGTTATTCTATCTTCTTCATCAGTTAATAATGTCATGCAACCATTTATTATTCTTAGATTCGAATTATCAGATGGCACATTTCAAACTGTCGAATTAAGTATGCAAGCTTTTCATGATCTCAGATTTCGTGTTGCTGAAGCACTTCACTCAATGCACAAACTCGAAGCGAATTACTTATTCACTCTTCGCGATGCATAAATCACTTTCAGACTTTTTAGTAAACTTATATTTATACTCTATAAGCTAAATAAATCGAAATATTTACAGAATTTTATAATAATTAGGACAAAGACTTTATATAAAATGAAAATCACTCCACTCAAGCTACATTAATTTAAATTATAGCATGGAGTGAAAAAACTAAGCTCTAATATCGTGTCCACATTTATTTTCTGAGAGTTTATATCAAAAATAATCTTATGACATTATTTTGATAAAAAAGAGAGATAGTTGTTCATGAGTATATATGTGTATGAAGACATAATGCATATATTCATAAAAACATAATGAAAAAGTAACATTATAAAATAAATTTAATCTTGAAGAATCCTCACTGTTGGTCTTCTTCTTCCCGCTAATGTTGCCTTCCTATAAACATTCTGTTCTGGTGGTGGAACATAAACTTCATCATCAGTTAACTTCGGCTTAACAATATCATCATCCGTAGCCTGTGAAGATATCTTGACTGTTTGAGATCTCCTAGGAACTGCTGCAAGACTTGTTGCTTCTTGTTTCTTTGGTTTCTCAGGAGGTTTGGCGATCTTGAATTCTGTTTGTGAAACTGCAATGTTCTTGAGCATGTTGATTATAGATGAGTTGCCTGATTTCTTGAGGCAGTCGATGAAAAACTTGAGATCTTGGGCACCAACGGCATCTCCGTAAAATTCAGCGTATCCGCTGCGGCTCGAGTAAACATTATCATGCTGTTCGGAAAGTATTGGTGGTGGTGGACGTTTCGGACGATTGACAATGCTCATTTGCATGTTTGCTTGCGGTACATATTGAATGCACTTGAATTTCATGCGCTCTTTATTTCGGGACATGAGATTAACAACATGGCTCCATTTCAATGGTGGAACCATCAATGCGAGTATGTCTTCTGGATCGCAATTGTATCGATCAATATTTTCGATGCCTTCGAAGATTTCCTCGAAGTGGATGATCATGTCTTCAAGTACGTGAACAACAAGTACTGACTGGTTTAATGCATCCGGTGAATCTGGACGATCACTTGAAATCAAGTTTGGACCAAAGCAAACAGCGATATTCTTTGCGGGCATTTGATTCTCATCATCGTGCTTTGAAACTTCATTAAGGTATTTAATTAAGAAGCAGAGTGTGTGATATCTTCCTGGATCTAATTTCTTAAGTAAGTTTTTAAGTTCGGAAATAACTTTTGGTGTTTGTTGAATACGTGCAATCTCAATTATGCTGTTATAAAGGCGAAACGGAATGATTGGATCAATTGTTGCCATTGCACGGAAATACCTCTTTAAAGTAGTTGCAATAGTATGTACATTGGAATATGGTGTCCAATCCTGTATTCTTCCGTTATCAATTACTTCAATAAGCTCTTTAATTTGCCTATCGGAACCATTTAGACGGAAAACACCTTCAACGCGCTCGGCACCAAGCTGTTTAAGAACTGCAATCAGATCTGAAACAATGAATGGGATTTTTCCCTGATAAGCTTCTGGTGGTTGCTGCCAGAAATGCGCCTTGAAAACTTCCACTTCACTCATTATGATTTTTGACAAAAAATCAGGTTTTCGCATTTTAAACAAACAAAATTTATTTCAAAAATATGATTGTTATAAATATCTATTTATTATCTGAATCTTATGTAAACTATTCAAAATATGTCACATTTTTATATAAATTACATCATTGAAGGGATATGATGCTTTGATAGCCATAGTAAATAGCTCCTCTTTTAAACATAAATTTAACTAAGTGAGTTCTATATATCTCATGAAGTATGCATTCATATAAAACAAATTTATAAAAAAAGATAATAATTTTGTAATATTTATGCATATAAGTAAAGCACAGATGAGACTAGAAGTATTTAATGCTAAAATTTAAAGCAATTACTATATTTATGAATTTATATACTGCGAGATAAAAAATCATTTAAATTTACAATATTTCTGTTTGTAAATAATGCTCATCCCTTTGCTAATTCAATATGTTGAATTTCATTAAATTATTTAGGAATTTGAAAATTTATCTAAATTTTGGTTATATTCAGTTTTTAGCATGAAGTTTGGAAGTATACTAGCTAAGTAAAGTAATGCCATAAGAATTATACGACTGATCAAAGGGCAGATTATTGAAGAGAAAGGTGACCAAACTATTTTTTGAAAGTCCGCCATAACTTTAATGGTACTATTTCAGCGTGTACAATGAATACAAAAATTCTAAGAGTGCCACATAAAATAGTACTTTAGACTTGAGTTAATGCTACCAAGCAAATGTTAAAAAGATGACTTTAGTGTTTTGATAATCAAAGATTAAAATCATTATTGTCTAAATCAATAATCATAACGACAGAAGTTAATGTTTTTTCATAAGTGCTTTAAATCCACTTTTAAAAGTATACCTCAAAAATCAAAATATCAAAAAAAAATTGGCCGATAGGTTTGGCTTTAATTTTTGTCTGCTTTTATGATTTGATATGGATGTTATAATTTTAAAAGTTGAGCCAAATTCACCAATAGATTTTTGAGATTTGCAAATACTCAATAATTTTCAGCGTGTTATCTTTTATTAAAAGAACTATTTGGTTTCAGTATCATATAAATTGATATTTACTTTCTATTTGAACCTTCATTTAGCTAATGATTTAATAATACAGATTTCATCTAGTCCTTATAAGAGAATTTTGAATTTGTTATAATAAAAAAACAAACAGATATAGCTTACACTTCTATAATAAAGATACCTTTTATAGAAATCAGTATGAAATGTGTTTTGGCTTATTGGAAGCATATCAGACAGAATCGCCATAATCAAAAAATCTATATACCCAATAAGTAATAAATTTGTCGATATAAATTTTCCATAAAATTAGTTTTTAGTCTGATCTTAAAATAAATTTAATTTTTTATAAAAAAAATCACATTTAAAAGTATCTTTTTAGTAGCTCGAAATCCTGTTGGTGGATTTCGGGCGTACTTCAAAATAAGCTTTTCTTCTACATATGCAAGCTATATTTTAAATATGGAGCAAATCGGATCGGCGAAAGGAGTTTAGTTACCTTTATTGAAGAGTAAAATGTTAATCAAAGTGGTATTCATTAAGTTATGATTTCAAAGAAAATCAATTGAGTAGATGATTGCAAAGGTAAAATGCCCGTAAATTTGCGAAATCAGGTATTTCAAAAGGAAAGAAATTTTGGAGCCTGACACTTTTATTTAATAACCGACTTTTTTTATTTAGAGAAATGTTTGTCGGAGGAAGGTCGAAGAAGCAAATCCAAATCAATCAGGTTCCAACCGAAGCCGCAGCTCCTGTCCCAGAAACGAATGAGCAAAGTATTTTGGAATCAATTGCAAATCGTGATTATAGTGGAGCAGCAACATTCATTGATTTTCTTCACAAAGAGCTAAATCAGCCTTATACAAAAGAACTTCAACTTTGGCACGGTTATTGCCTCTTTCATTCAGGCCAATATGAAGATGCGATTGAAATTTACAAAGGTTTGTTAGAAAGTGATCCAGATGATACTACTGTCAATCTCTATATTTCATCTTGTGAGTTTTACTTAAGAGATTTTGATGCAGCAAAGCAGTATGCCGAAAAAGGTCCATCTTGTGATTATAAGACAAGACTTCTTTTCCACATTGCTCAGCAAACAAATGATGACGATGCCTTATATAAAACACATTCCCAGTTACTTGGTACATTACAGAATCAGCTTTCTCTTGCTGCAATTCATTATATCCGTTCTCACTATCAAGATGCTATTGACATTTACCAAAAGCTTCTTCTTGATCACCCTGATTATCTTGCATTAAATGTTTATATAGCTATGTGCCTATTTAAGCTAGATAAGCATGAAGAATCAAATAACTCTGTTGATCAATATCTTCAATACAATTCTGATTCTGCTGTCGCCTTGAACCTTAAGAGCTGCGATTATCTCAAACTTTACGATCCAAATACTGCCGAATCGCAATTATTACAAATTCGCAAATTCAGTTCAGCAACATACGGCTTTGTTGATTCTCTTATCAATCATAACCTATGTATATTCCATAACGGCGACGATGGCTTCACAATCTTACCAAAACTTGTCGGAATTATTCCACAAGCCCAGCAAAACCTCGCAATTCTTTATTTACGCGAATCCAACTCTACAGAAGCCTTCAACATGCTTCAGGACTTCCAGCCTCTTGATTTAAGCGAATCTGTCCTCAAAGCAACCGTAGATCTTGCTTACGGCCAACAATCCGGTGATGTCAATTTAATCACGAGTGCCAATGAGGTATTTAAAGAGTTCGGCAACCTCGATGACTTCAAGGATACTATACAAGGCCGCCAAGCCCTCGCAACCAACAAATTCATCGAACAAGAATGGGATACAGTCATGAAAGTGCTGCAATATGTTGAAGAATACCTCAAAGATACCGATGAGTTCAATTACAACAAAGCCATGACATTGGCGCAATTAAATAGATTCGCAGAAGCCGAAAGATACTTCCTATTAATCCAGAACCCTGCTTATCTTCGCGAATTGAACTATACATCATGGTTGTGCATGTGTTACATCATGAACAAGAAACCAGAAAAAGCTTGGGACATTTACACGCAATGCACAGCTCCTGATGACGCAAAAACAATTTTGCAGATCATTTCTTCGGAATGCTACAGCCAAAGTATGTTCTACTTCGCTATGAAGGCCTACTACATCCTCTATGGTTATGAAATGAATGACGAAATGAAGAGAGGAATGATTGCAAGCGCTGTCGGAGTTTTCAGAAACATTTTGTCAAGAAAAGAAGAGCCAGATAAAATTAATGAAATTTACGACTGCTTGGCTAACGAGAAAGACGCAGAACAAATACTCCAAACCATACAGAACTACGTCGAAACATCTGGAGAATTTGATGCTGCTTGAAATTTCTATTAGTTATATATGTTTTAAAATATTGTTTTATTATTTATCATTTTCTTTGTTTTTTATATACACACCTGAATTTACTCTTTTATTTGGACACACATAAATTTTAATTCAGTCAAAATCCATTAGATTACTTCTTAATTTATTGTACAATATCTCGAAAAATACTTATTATTTGAAAAAAAGTTATCGATAATGATATATATCCTGTATGGAGTCTCTTTTTATCTATGAAAACCAGATAATGCCCTTTAATTGTTATTTTCAAAATTAGGTGACAAATCAAATAAAATATAATTTTAACAATAATAATTATGGGCAACAGGAGAGATTGAGAATATAGAAGTAATTCATCATGTGAAACTTTCCTTTTTGATTTTTCTTTCAAAATTTGGAAAATTGTGAAATTACATTTATAAATTTATGATTAACATGATAATTCTCAACATCTACAGTTTCATATAAAATTTGAGAATTTAGCAAAAAATAAACTTTTCAAATATTTCAATGTTTTACTACATTTTTGAGAGACTTCTCAAAATTTTATTCACAAGAAAAATCAGTATTATTCATTTTATATTATGTCACATTAATATTTTTGTGAATCACAAAAAATTCTTTCAAAAATGGCTGCATAAAATAATATTTTAAATTTGGTTGATAGAAGTGATAGATTTGAAATATCAGATAAAAATTTAATTGAGCAAAGTCCGTCTCAAAACTTTCCCTGATATAATGAATCGAAACCTATACATGTATCACAAATCAGTTGATTTGGGATTCCCAAAAAATAAAAAAATAATTGAAATTAATTTTTTTTTTAATTGTTTCAGTATTAGATAAAATATGAGTTCTGATTCCTATGATGATTATTACTATTCTAGTGAGCCAAGTAGCACAACAGTTATTGGGCCAGATGATATTAATCCTGAGGCTGCTCCTAGAAAGAAAGTTTATGAGGAACAAAAACCCAGAAAAAGGCAGAAATCATATCCAATTCCATGCATAGTATTACTTGAATTCATTCTTCCTATATGCTATGTAATCAACTCAATGACTACTGAAGGCGTAATGTTTTTGCCATTACAAACTTAACAAAAACATCAATTACGGGTCACAAAATTATTTTATCTATTGAACTCGTTTATAATATTATACTTCTTGGTCTTGCCTCATCCATCGGAATGAGTGAAGATGAAGATTCAAAAATTGTTCAAATAATGGGTTTAGACTTTAATAACTATGTTGCAAAAGACGCAAGATTAACAATTGGTATAAGCGTTGTCGCCATTATTTTAGAAATTGCCTCTGCAATCTTATTATTTAAGACAAAACCTGAAATAATGCTTGAGCGCAGAGCCAAAATATATTCATCCATGGCGTGGATCTTTGCTTCGGACTTTATTTGGACATTTTGCCTTGCAGTTATGGGAGCAGTTCAAATGTTCATGGAAATTGTGGCGGTCAGCTATTGTTTTGTTCCTTTGCTTGCATATATCCTATACATATCAATTACAATGGGTTTATTTGGCAGACCTTTTGTTCATCAATATATTCTTATTGTGATTTACGTATATGCAATTTTATTCTCTCTATTCATCTTCTATACAACATCCCCACTTGGAAAACTCTATCCGATTATCGGTTCCACTAATAGTCAGAAACTACATCAGTCATCATATTTCCAAAAGTATGCTCCATTAAGTTTAGCCGTTAATGTTATTCAAATATGGTTTTCAGTCCAGTTGTGTTTCGTTTTCAAGCGTTCAAAGCCAAAAATACCTCATGTCCTTGTTACGTTATCAGATATCTTACTGGTTTTCTCATTTGTTGCTGTTTTAGTATATTCTGTTTTCTTCCCATGCTACATTGCTGGTGTTTGGGAGCTTATTGTTTTCTTAGCATGCTTCTTTTCACTCAATGCATCTCGCAAATTCTTCTTCAGACTACTTTCTGTCATTCACAATGTTCTTTTCAGTGCAATATACGTAACATGTTTGAATTTATTCTATTCTGCAGAAAAAGCAGAGAAAAGTGTACCAGATTTATTTGTAAAAGTTTTACAACCGATCGGTTTTTATCACTTTTACAAGAAAGGCGTTGAAGCAGAAAGCAAAAACAGGGAGTTCATGTTTGTTCTCCTTGGTTTCCTTTTGACATCAATTTTAGCTCAAATCGGTAGAGTTGTTCACTTCAAACCTCCAAAGCACCATGAAAATGAAGAAGGTGTTGAGTTGAATGACATCATTGATGAGCCAAAAAAGAAGAAAAAGAAAGAGCCAGGAGTTGTTTTGAAGTTCATCATCAGAATTGCAACAATTATCAAGAATATTGTTGTATTTATCTTCAAGAATTTATCAGTTGGAGCCGTCGTTGTTTTAGGTATCACATACGGATATCAAGAAAATCAGTATTGTTTCAATGGTATTTGTGCATTAATTCTTATCACTAATGTTCTTGGTTTATTCCATTGCCCAATCTTTTATTTCATTATGTTCCTTACAGGATTAATCATTATCACAGCCACTGTCTTCGAAACAATGCCAGAAGAATATATTAAAAATGACGAAGTTTGGCAATTTTTGGTGAAAACAGGATTGAAAAGGGGTAAAACAGAAGCAGAATTACCCATTTATTTGTGGCCTTACATTGCTATGGTATTCTTATGTGTCTTAATCACTCATATGGGCAAAGTTAAAGTTATCTATCCGTCGACAGTTGTCATGTTCATTTTTTGGGCTTTAGCTTTACTTCACCTTGCCTATTTATATGTTTTTGGACCAAATATTTTCTCGGTCGTTTATGTAATCACTGGTATTTTCATCTTTTATTCAAAAGTTCTTAACAAAGTCCTTCTTACAAAAATTGCCATCATTGTTTCTGGTATCTCTGTTTCATTGCACTTGACAATGCTCATGTTCTCAGAGTTCGCCAACACAAGAGACTTTTTGATGTCAATCAAATTTAAAATTGGAAAAGATGAAGATAAACTCACTATGAAAGATATAATTGATCTTACAACACCTCAAACGCCAGGATGGGAAGCTGCTATGCTTGCAGTTACGATGTTCTGTATCTCATTGACATATATGAATACAAATCCTCTACAGAAGAAACCAAGTATTTGGATTCAAGGAATTCGTGAGGAATTCAAAGCTGTTTTAAGATCACTATTCTTCTATATTTCATGGCTTTTGATGTTCTTCTTCTCTATTTCAAATTCATATCCAACAGTTATCAAATGTGTTATCTCAATCTTCTTCCTTTTGGGTTTAAAAATGGCAAGGTTCTTTAACAAACTTGTTGGAATATTGCTCTATTCAAATACAATTTATATAGTTATTGAGGTGTTTTTGTCAGTTTTTCCAAAATTGACAGCAAGAACAGAAGGGCAAACTTACGCTCAATATGAGCCGATACGAAAATGGTGTGAATACATTGGCCTCTACTTTGTTGATGGTGATAAAGGACAGGGAGATAGAAACTACTCAATGACATGGCAACTTTTGTTTATTCTTGTAATCATTGTCAATATGATTGCAGAACATCCAGAACCAACTGATCCAAAATTTGACAATTCATTGGGAATGAGAGTATACAGGGCATTCTACATGATGTTGCACAACTGGTTACCTGTATTTGTGAACATTTCATTGTGTGTTTCAACACTTTACAATCCAACAGTTTTTGGTTTCTTTTCATTGTTAGTTTTGATCATTGTTCAGTTTAAGCCAAAAGTTCTCCAAAGAGGTGCTGTTTGGATCTCGGTTCTTTTCAATTTCTGTTCCTCTTCCAGTACGTTATATGGCTTGGCCCTCCAACTCGTTACTATTTCATCAGTGAAAAGCTTGAAAACGAATGGGGAGATTTCTTGTCATTGAGGAATATCGAAATTGAGGCTTTGTTCACAAACATGGTCACTGCATTCATGTTGACATTCTATTTGCAATTCAGAGAATTAGCAATGAATTATAACGCAGGATTCGATGATTTGCCAGATTTCTTGAAGGGTGTTATCAAATTTATCGTTTCAAATATCTTCGAAATCATCGAAGCAATAGCCATTGCTATCTCCATTTTCATCCCAACATTCGATGGTTTGTTCTTTACTATTTTGATTTCAATTTTGTTCTACATGACTTTATTGCATGATTTCGACAACCACAAGACAATTTCCATCCATCTTTGGGGTCTCTTCTTGGTTATTGCAGGTAGATTGCTAAGTCGCATTCCTTACTTCATTCCTAAATCTACAGCAGCATATGTCCAGCAAGCGTTTGGATTACCATTTAGAGGAAATTCCAGTACAGAATATCTCTGGATCATTCTCTTTGCTTTAGAATCATTGGTAATTCATATTATGGAAACTCCAATGTTCCAGGAATGCAGAAAAGATTCCATCCAGAGATTAGCTTACAGATTCATCAGGGTTCGCCAATTGAAAGTTCTCAATAGAATTAACCAAAAAGTCGTTGATTCTATTCAACATGCAAAGATTGAACAAATCTTCCGCCTTGCTGATCAATAATCAGCAGGATTGAATAGATCTGCCTCATTTTTGATGGCACAACAACAAAGTAAGAAACCAGAAAAAGTTGACAATAGAACTGAAGAACAAAAGAAGAAAGATGAAGAAGAAGAGATCCGCAGGAAAGCTGAAGAAGAAGAGAGAAAGAAGAAAGAAGCAGAAGAGAAGCAAAGAATCATCGAAGAAAAGAAAGCTCAAGCAGCTGCTGAAGGAAAAGTATTTGGTCTGAAGAAGTCGAATCCGATGGAACAGTTGGCACACTCGTATCCATGGGTGGAGGAATCATCGGAATCTACATACTGATTATCTTCACTTTCGGTGAAGTTCTCAGAGAAAGAACTCTCGGAGGATACGAAGAACTTTGGGTTGAAAGAATGAGGAAACCTGAAAACTTATATCAGTATATCATTGCTATTGAAGCATTTAGATCTGTTGGAGCAATAGATAGAGAATATATGATGATGGAAATGTTCCTAGATGTTGTCAGGTCCAAAGAAACTTGTATCAATTTGACAAATGACCCAGAGCCTGAAGAAGACACAGATAACTAAATTATATATATTCACTTTATTTTATATATCAAATTAACATTCATTTGAGTTTCAATAAATAAGCTATTTTTTTAAACTAATTTGAATATTTTATAACTCGTTGTGCCTTTCTGAATGCCTTCCCTACTATGATGCTTTTATTAGATTCATTGATAAATTTTAATTCTCACTATGAGTGCAAACACTTTTTACAAAGTGTTTATATTCAAATGTTAAGAATTAAATTATTCCTTTTATCTTGAGTCGATTCTAAAATTGTTAAATAATCATTATCAAATCCTAACACCTCTTATATAGAATATTCTATGTTGCGTTGATCATTATGTTGTTGTTCAGAGCAATTTGTTCCTTTGATTTGATATCTGATCAGCTCTGTATCTGCAGCATAATCAAGAGTTTCTTACCCAGATTTGTTTGGCTTCAATTCAAGCATTCGTCCACAATTGAAATCCATATGCTAATCATTAAAACTTGTTTATCTTAGATATCGAATACGTAGAACAAGTGAAATAATGTCGTATATGATATTACTATGCTCCATATGCTAAACTTAATTGGTATAATTCTGGTCGATGATTACCAAAAGATCGAAGTGAACTCTTTATTTTAGAAGTTGAAAAAAGTGAACGTTTGTAATTTTCTTTTCAATTTTTTTATGACTGAAACTCCTGAAAATAAGCAAGAACTCGAGAAAGATCCAACAAATACCTTCCTAACAGGTGTTAACATCGATGTTGACGCTTGGAGAGAACAAACTGTTGAAGAATTAACTGCTTGGTTAAATGACATCAAGAGTAAAAAGACAGAATTTGGAGATCCACTTGTTGATTTTCCTGATGGATGGGATCAAGGCCAAAATCTTTCAACAAATCAACAAATTGATGTAATTGCAAAAGGTTTAGCAGCAAAATTGCAAGGTGCTGAAGCTAAAGAAGCTAAAGCAGATTTACAAAATATTAGAGCACAAGCTGATAAACTAAAGCAGCTTGAAAAGCAACTTGCCGCTCTCGATGCAGATGATGATGAAATTGAAACAGAATTATCTAAAGAAGATGAAGCCTTTCTTGATGAGGAAATAGTCATACCAAATATAGATGTTTCTGGGCCAAATCCATTTGAAATTGACCCAGATTCAATGAAAAGACTTAAAGAAATAGATGAAAAGCTTGGAACAACTGATGAAGATATGAAGCAACCAACAAGAACAATGGAAGAAATAAATAATGATATAATGAAATTATATCAAAATCCTGAAGGCGATAAACCAGAAAATGTTACATTATTAGACGCCGAAGAAGATAATAAAGAAAGCGATGAAACAAAAGAGCCATCTTCAGAACGTCCTTCTTCCACTCCAAAATCGCCTCAAGAAATATCATCATTAAGCCCACCAGTTGAAGCAGCATCAGCTCCTAAGTCACCACCACATAAATCAGCACTTAAATCTCCTCTTTCTTCTGCTCTCAATCAAAAGCCAATTCCGCCTCTTCAGCAAATCACTGGTGATATTCAATTGAAGCAAATCAGATCAAAGAAACCTCTTATGAAGAAATGATTTTAATGTTTATCATTTATTTACGTTTCTTTTGTGAATTTCAAAAATTCTTTTAAAAAATTGTTTTTTATTTCTAACTTGTACCTAGATTTATATATCCAAGAAGTAATCTATTGTGATTTTCTATCCTCACAAGGAACTATTTCAAAAATATAAAAATTATCTCAAAATTCAACATTTAACAACTTGGATTGATATTAAATTATTGGTTTTAAAACGGAAAATTATGCAGATAAGTGATAAATTCAAAAATTATTCAAAAAATATATTATGTTTTTAAATATATCAAGATGATATGTATTAACATATCTAAAAGAGATGAGAGCTAAATGATTTCCAAAAGTTTTATATAATACAAACAAAATAATAAAAAACATTTAATGCGCCCAATTATCTTTTTCGTAAATAGGTTCAACAATAACCTGATCTACGTAAGTTGGGTTAATAATATCTGTCGGACATGCCTTCAGTTTTTCTGGATCGAAGAATTGGACTAAACCTTCATGATCCTTCCATCCTCTGTTTTCCACAGCCTCAACAACTTGTTTTGTATGCTTTACGACCCGTTCCATGTCACAAGCGTATTCCTTATATTCATGAATAAATTTTGGATGGACAACGCCGGCCATGAATATCTTAGAACAAATGCATAGCTGCATATTTTCAATATCCATTGCATTGGAAAACACTAAACACATCCCAGTGTAACTTTTCATAAAAACTGAATTATACATCATTGAACCTGCGACAGAAACGAGAACTTTGAAGGTTGCCCACTCGTACATTGTGTTTGTTAAATTATTTCCCAGTTTGTAGACTTCCCACTGGTTTCCATTTGGTGGAGAAACGTTTTTCTTCAAAGACTCAACTAATTCGTTGAAATTTGTCAAGGTTCGTCTGTTGTATTTATTGGAAACAACGTAACGAGTTGCTGGAATAGATGACAAATTATATAATTTGTCAAATCGCTCTCGGAGCTTCGGAATGCCTCCAGTTGTAACACCATCAGCAAGCATCAATGGGGCAACGACGTATAATTGGTTTACATAGCGTCTTAAATGCGTATATCCATCAAAAACTGTAACATTCCATTTTAGAAGTCTTAGCCACTCAGGAGCGTTTTCTGCTTTACTCCATGGGCCTGGCGCAACAACACCTTGCTCTAAAACGTACTCAGGAATGAATGTAAATGAACCTAAGAAGTCATGAATGAGATGACCCCATTCGTGGTATGTTTCTTCGAACCAAACACCGATTTCACTCTTATCATTCGTTGTACGAGATCTTGAAAGTGGCTGATCGTAAGGAGGTTGCATATCTAAAGTATATTCTTGAGTTTGGGGATCTAACGAGCAAAATGCATGATCATAGATGCCCACATAAGCTGTCGATTTCATTATATGGCATCTTGGCTTTTTTAAGTTCAATAAAGAAGAATCATTACAATTTTCTGTAACCAAAACGAAATCTATATAATGCATTGGTAAATACCTAGTAAGTCGAGTCATATGAGTAGACTCAGATTGAAAAAAAGGAATTGTTACGAGATTTTTTTGTTGATTAGTGTCAATTTCAATGTATTTGTGCCTGATATTGAAAGTTGGGTTGGATATGTCATGAAATTGAATTGTGTATATGATGACTGCGTAAACAAAGATAAAAAAGCATTTATTGGAGAATTGAGATTTCATTAGAATTTTTAACGATTATTTTTCATTCAATATTGATGATATTTCTACCAATGATTTTACAAATACAAGATGGTTTTTGTGACATAACAATAGCAGTATTTCATTGATAGCATGTTTCAATATTCTATATGTTGTATGGAATTACATTTCATTAATGTCAGGATGCAGCATATAGAAATGATAATGTATAATTTATGATCTTATATTACTATGGTGAGCTCAATCTTCAGTACCACAAATTGAATTGGATTGAAACTGTATTGGATAGCTATTACAATCATTTTGTGAAGAAAAAACCATTTCAGCATTTTTAAATGCTCTGAATGAATTTGGAAATTGATATAATAATATGTTATGGTATTCATAATTTATAAGAAGTGAAAAAAAATTTTTTATGAATATCTTTATTTGATTATTTCTACAATTCATTATTAAAGTACCTGGAAATTGTAAAATAGACAGAAAGTCTGAAAGATATATTCAGATAAAAAAAAATAATTATTGTTCCATTGAAAGAAAAGTAAAAATAATTTAGTAGTAAGTACATACATATTTATTTGTGCTTGAGACTACCATAACATTTCACAATATCATGGAATCATTTGAAAAAATTATGATTTAAAGCTTCTCTAGCTGAAATTCTCTTTGCAGGATCCAATTCCAGCATTTTAGATACAAGATCCATTGTATCTGGTGTTATTAAATGATTATTTCCAGGCATTCCAAATTCATAAAAACTTCCCGAAATTTTTCTATTAGTTTTGAAAATTGGATTGTATTTTCCAACAAATTCATTCCACGAAGCACTTCCGTATGCTTTTATGAGGTTTTCAATCATCATATAATCATTCTTTGAATTCCAATGATCTTTAAGTTTTATCATTATATCTAAACATGAGAGGCCAAGTGACCAAACATCTACTTCGCAGTTATAGTTTGAAACATTGATCGCTAGTTCAGGAGCCGTGATATGAAAACATCCAACTCTTGGATTCATTGGAACTCCTTTTCGGTAAAAGTCTGAGAGACCAAAATCAACGATAGCAAGTTTTCTGTTCTCGAAATCAGTTAAAATATTTGCTAATCTTAAATCACGATGAATAACTCCATGTTCATGGATATCAGCTAATGTTTCTAGAGTAGTTTTAAGCCACCATCTGAAATCTTCAAGTGTTATATTGCCATTGTATCCGGATTTTGAAGAAGGATGATATGAATAAATAATTGTCGGATATGATTCATTTCCTATGAATCCGTAAAATCTGAGCACGTTTGGAACGTCTTGCAATGCTTTTAAGGTGTTTATTTCTTTGCCAAGATATTTTTTACTATAAGTTACCAAATTTTTAACCGCAACTGCAGTTCCGTTTGAAAGGTACGATTTATAAACTGATGAATAATGTCCTTTTCCTATAAATTCACTAGTATTTTGAAAAGAAAAGTCTTGAAATTCAAATTCCAACTTTTTATTGAAGAATTCTGGTGGGTAAAGTCTGCTTGCATCCTTACAGCCACTCCTACAACCTTTATTTCTTCCAAAAAGCATAAATCCTTTTGAAACAAACAATGAGAAAAACATATCAAGCACTGTCAAATTTGGTAAAAACTTTCATTGATTTCTGAATTAATAATTTCATTTCTTAAGCGCTCAGTGTTACATTTGCAATATACTGAAACATTGAAAGATTTACAAGAATAGACCTATTTATAAATAGGTCTAATATATTTTCATTCATTATTGGACTTTACATGAATAGACATAGGACTTTTGTAATAAACTATGTAGATATCAACTGTATAGATATATGTATCCTCATTACTAGTAATTAGCAAATCTATTGGATGGAAACCCAGATTTGGAGATTGCAATATCCTCACATATGTTAAGATTAATTATTAATGAATAAATCAATTTATGTGAATAGTCAAACAAAGGCAATAGCCAGAATCATTAAAATAGAAACTAATTCTTACTTTTATTGTAATATAATGGCCATATCTATCATTAACTAAATAAGTTCCCAAAACCACCAAAATTGAAGATAATCGATTAAAATTTCATCATCTTTGAATTCAAATCTTTTACTTTTGGATTTATAATTTCATTCATGTAAACTCCTTAGATAATGTTTTAATTTGAAATGACAGCTTTAATGTGCATGGTCGCAAATCAAGTTTAAGATTGCATATTAGTATCCGAAGTAGTGTGTTATTTATATCATTATATATTGTTCTCAATTTCATTACAAATTTTTCCCTCAAGAACAGAAAAGGTGACCAAACTATTTTTTGAAAGTCCGCCATAACTTTAATGGTACTATTTCAGCGTGTACAATGAATACAAAAATTCTAAGAGTGCCACATAAAATAGTACTTTAGATTTGAGTTAATGCTACCAAGCAAATGTTAAAAAGATGACTTTAGTGTTTTGATAATCAAAGATTAAAATCATTATTGTCTAAATCAATAATCATAACGACAGAAGTTAATGTTTTTTCATCAGTGCTTTAAATCCACTTTTAAAAGTATACCTCAAAAATCAAAATATCAAAAAAAATTGGCCGATAGGTTTGGCTTTAATTTTTGTCTGCTTTTATGATTTGATATGAATGTTATAATTTTAAAAGTTGAGCCAAATTCACCAATAGATTTTTGAGATTTGCAAATACTCAATAATTTTCAGCGTGTTATCTTTTATTAAAAGAACTATTTGGTTTCAGTATCATATAAATTGATATTTACTTTCTATTTGAACCTTCATTTAGCTAATGATTTAGTAATACAGATTTCATCTAATCCTTATAAGAGAATTTTGAATTTGTTATAATAAAAAAACAAACAGATATAGCTTACACTTCTATAATAAAGGTACCTTTTATAGAAATCAGTATGAAATGTGTTGTTTGACACGTAAAGCTCTCAATTCATTATAACATGTTTGTCGATTTTTATATATTTTTCGCTTTCATTATCTATGATATTAAAAATTATGTCATCAGAATGTGAAATAATTAAACAAATGCCCTGCGGGAAGTATTTTATACTAGAATTTATAAAAAAATCACTGTACGTTTAGCCTACTGGTTATGTCGTGGGGTTCAAAGGCAATATGTTCAAATCAGTAAGCACCCAGTTTTTTATTTTTTTATTTTTTTTAACAAGGTGAATATAACTTTTGATCGAAATCAATGAGTTACATATCCAATATTAGCGTTTAATAAAATCAAAGATTATTGACTTATATTTTGAAAGTAATCTAAGCAGAATTTAGATATCCAAATTCTAAATATCTTCATGCTTAGATGCTAGATAATATATTCTTATTTGAAAAATTTATAATGTTATTATTTTCTTATTTGATATTTACTACAAGCAGAAAAGCATTTATATTGTAAATTAACAGATTATGATAATTATACTCGTTTTTATATGTTCTTAATGAAGAATATCAAACGTATTTCTATGAGTTTTAAAAAATGAAAAGTTTTAATATGGCTAATATATTTATTATCATTAATAGAATAAAAAAGTTTTTTTTCGCATATCACTCGATGATTTACCTTCGAGTTTTGATAAATTTCGAAAAAATTTAAGGAATGCTCTTTGAATTTCTTTACCTATAAGCATATTATCTGCCGTATTATTTTTCGCTAATTGTAGAATTTTATTTAATTTTAATAATTAACCTTCTAAGCTTATTGAGAGATCACATTGTATATTTGATACGTAGTACATATGCTAAATCTGTGAATTAGATTGTAAGATATTGAACAAACGTTCTTAAACATTTTAGATTTTAGGGAATTACTGAATTAAACTATATTTCTTATATGATATCTTCATGTTTGGATGCTTTGGGTATAATTTATTGGGCTTTTTCTATCCAAATGTTTGGCAATGGTAACCCAATTTCTAACAAATTTATGATGGAAAAATTTATGACTTTTATGGAGCCGAAAAAAAGCATAGAATGAATAAGACTATTAAAGATAAGCTGTAATTTGATTGTGAATTTTAAGAAAAGAATTTGGATTAAAATTTGAAATTCTTTTTTTTTTGAAAATTAGCCGATGATATGCTTAAGCTAAAAATTACTAGAAGCGGTGTGATATAATTTATATAAAAAAACTCATAATTGCCATTATTATTGGTACATATAAAGTCAAATTATAATTTGCAGTTATGCTTTAATCAAAATCTATATTGAAACGCTTTGTCACATCCATTAAAAAGGCTGTCGCATATAAATCCAAACATTTGCTTGGTATGTACTTTTCCATTTTAACGTCCTGATTGATATAAGCATGTTTTACACTTTAAAATAGTAATTATGACAACCTGTACACCATAGAAGTAGGCTATAACAAGAAAAATTAGATTGACATCGAATAATTTCAAGATTTAGAAACAATTTGTAGCTTTCTCAATTATCTAGAGTTAAAATTCATTTATAATGAGGTCATATATTTTAATTATCTTGTAATCAATGTTCGAACATTACCATTAAAGGAATTTTTACTTTAATTAAATTTAAAAAATATAATTTGTGACTAAAAATAACAAACAAGTTTAATACAAACAAAATAGTATACAAATATACAAAAGAACTATCATTTAACGAATATTTCAATCTGAGATTTGAAATTTATGATAGTTATAATAAAGGAGCTCTATTTTGAGAGCTATGCAGCGAAGTAGAGTGTGGTTACATGACTATAATTCACTTTGTTTTCAATTGTCATTGTGCGAAGTGTACTCCTTAAGATTTGTGAAAAATTGCCTTTATTTATGAGATCAACAATGTGTTTTGGATGACGTTTCGCATTTAGAATAGCAAACTCTAGATTCTCATATGTGATCCCGTTATGAAATCTACTTAATGTATTATGAATGTATGTTTCAAAATCGCTGAATTTGTTTGCCTTCTTGGCAAAATTTGATGGTAAAATGACATTTTCTGGGAATAATTGAGCAATATGGCTTTCTTCATATAATGGATCATTTTCAAGAGGATCAGATTTGTCATTATGAGGATCTAAATCGTTTAATCCTTTCTTGCGTGATTTTTTTTGGTTGGGTTGTCAAAAACATCTTTTTTGACAGATAAACGTGAAAAAATACTATAACCTGAAATTGGATTTGATATATGTGTTGACATTAAAATTTTTGAGTGAAATTGATTAATTTCATTCACCCAACTAAGCAATACATCAACGCTGGAATTACTATTATATCTAAATCCACATTTGGATAACAAGGCATATGCATATTCTTTGCACATTTCATATTGACGTGAATCTTGACGCATTGTGTAAATGTCTTCAAATGTAATACCAGCTTGATAGTCACGTGAATGGGTTTTCCAGTCAATATCGTATTTTTTATGAATTTTGAGTGTTAAATTACATTCTGCAATAGATGTTTCGGTTGTTGACAAATCATACTTAAAATGAGCCATGACGCGAAGTAAACCATTCAAATGTTCTTCCGTCATGGTTGTCAAATGAGAAAAATTGAAAAATGTTGAATTAATACTGAAAAAATATTGGAAACAAATGATTGTTGCTGTAAGATGCTTTACAACTTCCCAAGTTCCCATATAATAGACCGGATAAATGTTTCCGTCTATTTTGACAACACCAAGATTTGTCTTAATGTGACGGTCTCTCATTTGAATGCAATGATGTACCAAGAGCAGATATGCAAACCACATCATTTGACATCTTGTGTCAGCATTAAATGCCTCATTTCGTATGCTTTCATACCAGAATGCAAGTGGAGCTATGAATAATGCTTCATTATAATAGTTTTTTTCTAGAAGCGCCTTTACAGCTCTAATTGAAAATATTGTGATCGGATATTTATCTTTTATCCTTCCCAGAGGTGAAGTATCATTAAGAGCATCACCTAATTCGATTGCATCTCTGATCTTGTTAACATCAACAATTGTATTCAGATCAGATGGATGAACTAAAAGCTTAAGTGTTGCATCGAGTAATCTGGTACGTTCAAGTTTTGACATATGTATGAGATCATTAATCCATACAACTTGATCTCCTTTCTTTAAGATAGCAGTAGCTCTTTTAAATATTTCTTCGGGATCATTACCTTGCAAAATTTCATTAATAAATTCATCTTGATGCTTATCATATCCGGGATCTCCATCAGTAATGATGACTCTAACTCTTAAGTGCTTTCGTATTTCTTCGATTGCTGCATCAATTTCGTGGATAATTCCACTTGCAAACCCATTGGCATGTTCTATAACATGTAATATAACATTTGGCGCATCAAAATTTAGGGGCATACCAAGAAATATGAATAAGTATTTGATTTCTTCTCCATTTTCATCAACAGGACCTTTTTGGTCTTTAGAGGACCAGGTAGAGAGTGCAACTGCATCTATTGCTATTGCCCATTCATATTCAGGTGTATTTTCTACGTGATAGTTCATGCTTTCTAACATTCGCGGAATGAGCTCAGCATGTTTAACAAACTGTTTCATATTCATTATGTCTTCATGAAACCTATTGTACAATGTTACAGGCGTAGGAAAAGGTAAACAAAATTCCAAGAGAACATCATATGCTGCTGGTGATTTGCTATGTATTAAGAATGCCAAATCTACCAATTCACTTTCACCTCCATATCTATAACCTCTTTTATCTTTTCTACAAATGTTTTCCATAATAGTATGTATAATATTTCTTGTAAATTCAGGAACATGTTCCGGAAATTCTGTATTCCAGTAAGTTCTGTCTTGGTGATCATCGTTGTCTTCTTCTATTTCCTTTGTTTTTCTTCCAATATTCTTATTCAACAGACTTCTGCGCATTTCAGCCTTTATTGCGTCTAAGTCTTCTAGGTAGGCTTTATACATATGCATTTTTCCGGTTCCTGTATACGGGAATACCTGAACATCAGTTTCAAATGATCTTTTGTAAATTTGTTTTCGAATATCTTGATTAAATTTAACTAAAAACGTTTCTCGGTCTCCTTTTATTTCAATTTCAAGTTCTTCAATCTTCTTTTTAAGTTCGTTGATGTCTGAGAGAGGAATATAGAATCCAACATTCATTAACTTTTTGAGAGAATGTCAGACCAATCTGAATAAAATAAACTTAATATTTTCTATAATTTCATACTAGAATAGAATTGGTAATGATATTTAATATCTTTTTGCTTCACTTGTAGAAATTATTTTGAAATTAATTTTTTGTAATCGACAAGATACAATTTTGTTATGACCAAATGTTGTCACTACTAATTTAAATTCCATTTACAACAGCTACTTTATAAACATCCATCCAAAATTGAAGATTCCTAAAATTTCAAAATGGAAATATGCAATATGAATGATGAAATCATATCCAATAGTTATGAAATTCATCATACATAAGATAAAAGATAGAAAAATAAGCAAATATGAAAATTTAATGCATAATGATATGTGAATAACTGTAAAATTGCAAAACCACATCAGCATCAATTATTGGCATAAATATATATTCTTTTGATTGTATATGCATTTCTGTTTTGGAAATAACTTTCAGATTAAACTTGTTAAGCCCATTCATAGATAATTTGCACGAAAACAGTTCTGAACAACTTAGAAAATGGTCTTTGTCTAACTACCAGAAATAATTTATTGATAGAAATGTCTTTTAAAAAAGAAAATTTCATATTAGGCATCCGTAAAGGTTTTTGTTTGAATGTTGGGGTTAAGGAGTGTAATAGTCAAGATATTAGATAACTAAGTGTATGAAGTTGTCATCTATGTTGATAACAGCGGAAAATTAAAAATAATTATTAAATCATAACTTTTTGTCTCATGAAAACCATAAAAAAGTATAAAACTAAAGGTTTTTGCATGTGAACTATAGAAAGCTTTAGATTCATAAAAACTAGATTTTTTTTTATATTTTGATTTTTGAGGTATACTTTTAAAAGTGGATTTAAAGCACTGATGAAAAAACATTAACTTCTGTCGTTATGATTATTGATTTAGACAATAATGATTTTAATCTTTGATTATCAAAACACTAAAGTCATCTTTTTAACATTTGCTTGGTAGCATTAACTCAAGTCTAAAGTACTATTTTATGTGGCACTCTTAGAATTTTTGTATTCATTGTACACGCTGAAATAGTACCATTAAAGATATGACGAACTTTACAAAAAACAGTTAGGATACTATAAATCTAACTGCCAATTTATACACTTTCGGCTAAGGAGAAACATAATAAATTTGACGCTTTTCTTAGCAAGGAAGCCATATTTTTGATTTGATATCATTTTTTAATACAAATTTATATGTGTTAATGCGGGGGTAAACGATAAGCGCAATTACTTTTAGCAAACATACTTTGAAAACCAATATGCTATAATTTTATATTATAATTTGAATAAAAATTGTAAATTGTTAGTTCTTGATGCAGCATTCAAAGATAATAACAAGATAGAACGATTTTCAAAAAGGAATGTTTGATTTTATCATTGAATTAAAATAAAATTCTAATAGTAATATATATGTCTGTGTTATAATGAAATTGATGGTATACGTTAGCACCAAATTACATATGCTAGTAAATACAAGCCACATAAATAACATTTTAGTATGTCTGCAACCTTTTTTTTTTGAATCATGAGTAAGTAAGAATATTTTTGTAACAAAATGATATCATGTATCGAAAGAACATACTTTATTGTTGTATCCTCTACTTTTCCAAAGATTATTGTATCTCAAATCTTAATTCTTTAGATGGTAAACAAAAACATTCATGCAAGAGACATTCCAAGGAGCATATTACACTGTAGAATCTTGAAAAAGTTGGAACTAATTAATTCACTCCAGAGGAGCAATGTTGTATGCATTCAATTTTAAAATAAAAAAAAACTATATATTATCGAACTTAATACTTTGGGTTTTCATATCTATATACTTCTTCCAATGAACTAATTTCCAAACAAAGCTCTTGAAAAATCTTTAAATATAAGATGACTTTTGCTTATATTTTTTGATTTCTCGATAAGTAGTAGTATATGAAGGGTTTAGTGACTTTTTTTGTAAACGTAAGAATTCATACAATATTGAACGATTTTGTATCATTTTTTTTAACATATGAAGTAAAAAATGTATGTTTCTTACGGTTTTTATTCTTACATTTTTGAATAAATCAAGATTTAAAAAATTTTCAAAATTGTAAGACATTTACACTCAACCCATACATGATGTAATAAACACATTAAAAATAATTAACATTAATTTTAAAATAAACTTCTTACGAAAAATTAAAACTTAGTTATGTTTATTATTTTATTTTTTATTTTGTAAGAAATGAACGGAACAAGATTCGTGACTGTGAATCAATTAATGGATCATATGGTTACGATGCAATGAATACACAAAATTACGCAAAGACTAAAATAATGAATGCACAGAAGGCACGCGTTGCATGTATGTCAAATAAGTTTAAAAACATAAGAGAAATAGGAGAGGATACATATCAAGTGATGCTCAAAGATAGATTTTATAGATGTGAAACATGTTTACAAGAGGCATTCTTTACTTTAGATAATGCTAAATACTGGTATTTGGTTTTCATTTATGATTTTATGTATAAATGCATGAATGTTAATCGTTTTCATTTCATTGAAGGTGATACTGATTCATCTTATTGGGCAATCGCTGGTGATCCAAATCTTCCTAACACTCAAGCATTTCAGGCGATTATAACCGATAAACAATTTTATGATAAAAACATTTTCAAATTCGCACCTTTTAATTTCTTCTGTTTTGATGAGAAATTTAAACCTAAATTAAAGAATAAAGTTGAAGAAAAAGCACATGAGAAGAAGTTATTGGGTTTAGCAATTGAGAAACAAGGTGATAACATGGTTGCTTTATGCCCCAAGTGTTATACATCATTCAACGATTCAATTGATGGAGGTGATTTTAAAAAGATTGCACAAAAAATGAAAGGTGTTAGTTTACGACAAAATAAACAATTAACACCTAAAAATTATTTGGATATAATAAATGATAAAGTGATATTTGATGGTCAGAATATTAATTTACAACTTAAAAACAGGACGATGACTCGCTTAACAATCGGTAAGACTGCATTAACAGGAGCACACACTAAGGCTGTATGTTGTGAAAATGGATGTTGTATGCCATTTATTTAATATAATTTAAAATTTTATTTTTAAAAAAATGGGATTCACAAATGAGACAAAAGGAACCGTTAATAATGGTTTTGATTCTTGATCAAAGAGGTGAGCACCCTTAAAACACTTATTTTATTTTTATATAAATGGATAATGTAGATTTAAAAATTTTAATTGATGATTTAGTACTTAATCAAAATTTGCTTACTTATTATGAATTAAAAGCATATCTCCAAAAATATGATAACAATATAACGGGTGATGATATGGAATATTATTATCCATATTATAAAAATGAAATTTTGAAATATCATGATAAAATAATTTCTAAAATTAAAGACAAAATTAAAAATAATGAATATATAAAGGGAAAAACTAAATCACAACTTAAACAATTGAAAGATTTCAAAAATAAAGTATTAACAGAAGAAGATATTGATGAATTATATAATTTATATAATCCTGAGCCGCAAAAACCAAATGTTCAACAGCTAAAGATGCAAAACGCCCAGGTCCTTCAGACCATAAATGAAGCACAAGCTTTAATTTATGATTCATTAGTTAAACCACATTCAGCCCGATTTTTAAATGAAGATCAACTTTTGGAATTCATCCTTCAACATAAACTCGAAGCGGGAAAGTATATCAAACCTTTATATACAGCATATTTAAAACAAATGAATAGAATACATCCAGAATTAATGAAAGGAGGAATGAAATCCAAAATCAAAGCAGATAAAATTAAACCACTTGCAACACCAAAACCTCCAACAGTAGTACCTCCTCCTCCTTCAGTTAATCCTTCATCATTCACTTTATTATATCCATTTCAAACATTTAAGAAGCAAAAAGATTTTAAAAAGGATTTCAAGATATTAAATAAACCAATTGACCCAAAAATTCAGCCATTAAAGGAAAAATTTAGTCGCCCCTCATTTGCACTATATCCATATTCATACGAAATCGATCATTTAGAATATTCAAAAGGAAATGTTACTTATTTATTCGCCATTAACATTAACACTAGATATTTATATTGCATTCCAGTGAAAGGGAAAACAGAACAGAAAACAAGAAGAGCTATTCAATACTTACTAGATCATGAAAGAGTAGATAATATAAGGGGTGATGGTGATAAAGGATTTCAGGCAGCTATGGCTCATTATTTTCCACAAATTCATTTTTACTTTTCATCCTTTCCATATACGTTTCATAATAAAATAGTTGATGCGGTAATGAGAACTCTTAGAGATGCGTTAGGGGTTAATGGTCAGATATACTGGGATGGAAATCATGACTCCATCATACAGCAGTTAGTATATTATTACAATAATACATGGCATAGAACTATAAACATGAAACCAGTGGAAATGAAAAATGAGATTTCAAAAGAATGGGAATATATTAGAAAACAAATGGAAAGGTTAAATGATGTTAAACGTGAACAAATTAATTCAGGGCTCATGAATTTTAAACAAGGGGATAAAGTTTTGATTCATCTCGATTATGGAAAAACTGATAAATCAATGACAAAAAGAAGACGAAGATTTGACACAATAGCTGAATTTGTTAGATATATTAACGGCAATGCATTAGTTGAGGTTAACAATAAATTAATAGAAATTCCGATTTATTTTATTACTCCATTATATTTAAATAATATTTAATTTTTTTATTTCGTAAGAAATGAGTGACAACGAAGCAGCCAAGAGTCCTGACGATGAATATAAAAAGAAACTAAACAAAATTAAATCAAAAATATGCTATTATAAAAAGAAACCGCAATGTGGTGAGGTTGAAAACGATAAAGAAATAATCGAAAAATTAGAAACTTACCGTTCAATCCTTAAACTGAGTGAAGCAAAAATAAAAGAATTTAATAGAATAAATAAATTGGTTGGAAGAGATGAATTTAATAAAGATGAATTTTTAAACTCAATCCAAATTTAATTTTTTCAGTGCTACCATGTTACCGGGTGCTACCAGGTAATTTAATTTCTTTTAAAAATGGTGACAACATGACATTTTGACAACAACACGAGAGGAAGGCATTCATGAATTATTTTTGAAGAACTGAAGGTGCTACCATGTTACCGGGTGCTACCAGGTAATTTAATTTCTTTTAAAAATGGTGACAACATGACATTTTGACAACAACACGAGAGGAAGGCATTCATGAATTATTTTTGAAGAACTGAAGGTGCTACCATGTTACCGGGTGCTACCAGGTAATTTAATTTCTTTTAAAAATGGTGACAACATGACATTTTGACAACAACACGAGAGGAAGGCATTCATGAATTATTTTTGAAGAACTGAAGGTGCTACCATGTTACGGGTGCTACCAGGTAATTTAATTTCTTTTAAAAATGGTGACAACATGACATTTTGACAACAACACGAGAGGAAGGTAAAAATAAATTCAAATCATACTTTATAAAGCTTCATTTACAGGTATTTCATCATCAGTAAATGAATCCTCATTATCGTTTGGTTCAACCTGTTTATATAATCCTTTCATTTCTTCTTTCAAAACATAACACCATGTTTGTTTACCATCTATTCTTCTATGTTTCCTATCACATTTATCCTTAATACTCATTTGAAAATTTTTGTCTTTCATGTCTGATGGTTTGCAGAATAGAGCATTTTTACATGTCATACCTGCACACAATTCATCATAATGTGTATTTATCCATACATCTAAAGGATTTGATGATAATTCAATTAAATCTTGTTTGGCTTCAGTCATCGGTATGATTCGTACATTAAATGATGAAAGGTCATAATTGATAAAATACGTCAGTAAATTATCATAAAATTCCTTTGTGCATGAATTCATCAAATTCTTGAAGTAATCAAATTGACCCTTGAATTTACCATTAACTCTTAAAACTACATATCTTCTGTCTCCAACTTCAATTTTGACAGGGTAAACGTTGTTAGTTACGAAAATGAAGTTTGCAACATTCTGAGCTGTTCTTCTGGGTTGATTCTTTTCATTAATTCTAATCTCATTATCCGTAATAATTGATTTCAAAGCGTTGAAGTTTGCGAGTCTGTCTTCACCTACATTCTTGAGTTCATTAAGTACAAGAAACATTTTATTCTCAACTACTGAGTTGAAATTACCCGTTAGCTCACCTATTTCAGTAATGTTTTTACATGAATAACCAGCGAGAAGTTCAGAAATAATGTCTGTGAATCTGTTTTTACCTGTTCCCTGAAGTCCTTTCAAAATAATTGCTGTTTCATTCTTGATTCCAGGATGTTGAATCATTGATGCAATCCAGCCGAGTAGGTATTTATACACTTCATCATTATTATCACAAATGGCTTCTTTAATGAAATTCATAAACATCTCAATTTTTGAGGAATCAGGCTTTTCGAGAATGTTGTATTTATAACCTTGAAACGTTGAGAAAACATCGGGGGAATTAGATTTAAAGCAAACACCCTTAACGGTTAATGAGGATAATTAATTTAATAGTACATCCCATGCTGTTATTGTTTTACCTTCTTCATTAAATAATTTAATCATTTTAAGTGACTCTTTCATGTTTGATTGAAGAACGAATGATATTTGATTCATTTTGTCGTGGATATTATAGTCCTTTTGAATGAAATATTTGTTTCCACAATCTACAAAACGGATTACACGTGATAAATCCTCAATTACTTCAGAACTGTTTTTATACTGATGATTTTCAGCCTTGCGTCTAATATAGGGTGTCCAAAGGTGTGTTTAGCACAAACCTGAATACTGCGAATAGAAATAAACAAGTTACATATATATAAAGTTTATTTAAATATAATCACCATTGGATTCAATCACGCGTTCGCAGCGATCGATCCAGGCTTCAAAGACACGCTTTAAATCATCATGAGAGAAATTGCTCAAATTGCTCTCTTACAAAATTTTCAAGATCATCTGGACTCGCGAATTCGCGTCCTTCAGCTCTCTTTTTTAGCGTGCCGAATAAATAAAAGTCAGAGGGTGCAATATCAGGTGAATAAATTGGGTTTGGAACAACTTTGACATTGTTTTCCACCAAGTAATTCATTACCTTATGACTTTTGTGAACTCTTGAATTATCAAAATGAATTGCAAACTTTTGTTTTTGTTGTTTGATTTCTCAAACTCATCAGAATTGATAATTTGAGTAAAGACATTGTCAATTAGATACTGAGCATTCATCGTATTAGGTTTTTGAAGAATATCAATTGCGATGATGCCATTCACCCCAAAAAAACCGACAACATCATCATTGGTGTGTCAATTTTTTTCTTCGGGAATGTTTGCGGATTTTCATCCTTCGGGATCCACATGATTTTGGCTTCTGTTGCATATTGAAACCAAGACTCGTCCCCTGTTACTAAAAAGCGAAACTTCTTGATTGATACGCACCCAATATAGAGAGGAGCTCTTTCGAGATTGGACTCTAGATTTTTTTTGAACTGAATTAAGGTTGTGCGGAACCCAACGTGTATACGCTAGTTTGTAGTTCAAATAATTGTGCAGATAATAACTGACTGTTGTACGTGGTATCTTTGTCATCTCCTCTATCCTTCTGAGTGATGCTCTTGGGTATTCATCTAGCGCTTGAAGAATTGCTTTGATTTTTCTTTGATCCGGCGATTTTTTGTCAATTTTTATGATGGGCGCCTTTTTGTTCATGAAGTGATACATCCTAACATGATACGTTACAGTGGAATAGCTAGGAGCATCCATACCGAAGCATTTTACCAATGTCTCGTAGATTTTTTACAGTCTTTGCATTTTTTTGCAAGAGCGAGGATGTTTTCTTTATGATTCATTAAAAAAATGAAAAAAATCCCGCCAAAATTTCCCGCGAAACCGCCTCTTGTCTGAAAATTCATTTTATATCCCGGCATGGCGCCAAAATACAACTTACTCATCATATACATATATTCATATTTTTTATTATATATTTATAATCAGCATATATCTCCTTTAATAGTCTCATATAGAGCGCTGTGCTAAACGCACCTTTGGACACCCTATATCTGTTATCAAAAACGAGTCATCAAGTTTTATATCAAATGTTATTTTTGGCTTATGTAATAAAGGCAAAACATATTTATCATAATATTCCTTTTGATATAGTTTTAGAATCTTCACCAAAACAAATGGAGAAGTCATTAAATATGCATATCTATTACGTGCTTTTTCAAAATTACTTTTTGCATTTTCTGTTAAATTGCAGAAGTTATAAACGTTGTCGTATGCTTCATTAATTAAATGATTAGGTAACGAATTAATTGCTTGAAACAGTGTGAATAATGTAACTTCTTTTTCTAAATTCATGTTTCCACCGTCATTATGTACTTCAAAATCACACATGCCATCAACTATGCTTTGAGCTAGTTTATCGTCAATGTTTACATCTTTGTTTTCATTCATGATAGTTTCTTCGTTCTTTTGTTCAACTCTTACCTTAATATTCAAATCATTTAATATATCATTCACTGTTCTGGTTAATGTTGAATCATAACTTCCACGAATGAATGAGTATGTATTGATTGGTTCTGTTGCATTCTTGCGAACTCTTGAATCAGCCATAACCACTAATGAACGCTTTGAATCATCCATTGAAGTCATTATATCAATATCATAATCATTACAGGAATAACATTTAATCATTCTGTTCGAAACTGAATAGAAGAAATTAGTGTTGCAATAAATGTGAAGACCTCCTGAAGCAGTTTTAACGATAACATCTTTATCCGAAAGTTTTGATAAAATGTCTTTTCTAACTGTTTCTTTAAGTTCATCATCGTATGATTTATTGATATCAACATCTATAATCGTTAAATTTGATATTTTATTTACTAATAAAGCCATACCAGTTTTCCTTCCTCTTCCTCCATCATGTTTGAGGTAGTTATGTAAATCAATCATGTTTTCACCAATTCTTTCGTTGAGGGTTTTAGTTTCTGCCACAACTAATTCCTCAACTAATGAATCAATAACTTTTTCATCAGAAACGATATAGTCACTGTTGTTGTTTGTTGCCACAACTAATTCCTCAACTAATGAATCAATAACTTTTTCATCAGAAACGATATAGTCACTGTTGTTGTTTGTTGCCGTCATTTATATAGGAATAAAAAAATAAAAATAATTTTAAAACTAACTTTATTTTTGGGCTGCATCATATTTCCTGAACTGTTGTCAAAATGTCATGTTGTCTCATTTTTTCAGAGAAGTTAAATTACCTGGTAGCACATGGTAACATGGTAGCACCTTCAGTTCTTCAAAAATAATTCATAAATACCTTCCTCCTGAACTGTTGTCAAAATGTCATGTTGTCTCATTTTTTCAGAGAAGTTAAATTACCTGGTAGCACATGGTAACATGGTAGCAGTGAAATAAAATTTTGTTATCAGTTATTTTATCATCATTTTATTAACTTCATCTTTAGTTAATAATTTGAATGGATTCGCTAATGTTCCACCTTGAGTCACAACACTTGCCCCGGCTAATTGTGAAGAACCTGGGATAAGTACTCCACGAAATGATTTCATTGGTAACATTAATTTAGAAATAGTTGGCTTAATTAATTTTGTCATTTATGATAAAAATAAAATTACATAATTTAAATTTTTTTCTTTCTCATTTTCTCATCCTGTTTTGGTTTCAGCAACTTTTCAAGTTGTTGTCTTGTCAGTAACTTGAATTTGAACTTTGGATCAAATATTGGGTTTCCATCTGTATCTCTTCCAATAACACCATATGGTAGAATCTTCATTTATACTAAAATAAAAATTTCAATTATACCGTTCGCTCTTTTGGAGCTCAGGACTTTCAGTCCGTTCTAATGTTTGTTTCACAAACATTGAGCGTTCATTGAACTCTATACCATGCGTAAACTGTCATAAATGGTGGCATGTATTCTTTACTTTGTCCCGTTGTTTGTGTATATCCTGAAACGAAATGTGTATGGTTTCCTTCTCCCTGAGTGTCACTCCAGTAACAATTTATAGCAAACTTAACGTCATCTTTAACATCATATCCTTTACCTTTTGTCATTCCTGACCAATCCCAATATCTATGCTTATGCCAACCCGCTTGAGATGTACTTAAATCTATGTAGTGACTGTGTGCAGGTAAATTTTCACCTGTAATCGTTTTACTTCCCCCTGTTTCCTTTGAAGAGTTTGCACAATACAAAAACCTGTCGACTATTTGTTCCCATGCACCAACACCAAACATTACTTGAGGACCTCTTGCATCCATAGATGTATAAATAGAACCTACTGGGTTCATTAAATCAAACATATGAGATATTATAGGATTGTCTCTTTTGAACTTAAAATATAGTGCAACTATTTCAGGTTTCTTCTGGTTTGTGTCAGAATATTTTTTATAATATAATCTTATGTTTTCAGGGTGGGTAAAATCTTGACTATAATATTTATTTATGTCATCTGTATAATAATATACTATTCTTGTTTTTTCTATTGCATTATATCTTTTATATCTATAATAATCTAAATATAATGTTAACTTTTGTTCATCTACATGTGGTGTTCTGACATCATCTCCATAGTCATAATAATATGGTGCTGGAGCTGGGTCAGGCAATGTCATATCTGCCATTTCATAAACTCTTAAATATTTCTTTTGTTCGTCTTCATATAAGTTTAAGTAACAGTTGTTGTAATGGAACTTTAACTTGTGTGCCATCATTCTTTTTATAACTTACATACATTTCATTGTTATTTTTCGGAATGAGTTTACACCGTGTACCATTTTTTAAGGACTGTACAAACTGCCATCTAAAATATTTATTTTCTTCATTGACAGAAAAGTCACCAACAATAGTTTCAATATTTTTTGTTGTTCCTATCAAACTTTGGTATATTTCATTAACATATTCCTTATCCGCTTTCTTCTCTAACTCATCATTAACATAAGTTTTATCTGCTTTAAACTAAACATCCTGAAACCCATCCTGTATCAGCTTTAGTTTTAAAAATCTTCGATGTCCATTCATGATACCATTCAACCCTTTCTTTAATTTCATTATCTTTTTCATCAACATAAAAAATTTGCCTTCTTATTTAATTCACTAGCCACATATTCCTTATCGCTTTCTTCATTATGTCATTTAGGAAACCTTTTATGAATTCCTCATTTAAATTAAATCTTCCAATCTTCAAAACTTTGGGAAATGCATTTAATGCGTAATATCTTTGTTCTTCTGGTGGAATTGATGTTATATCATCCGTTATACCTTTAATTTTAGAATTCATAAATAAAATTTCTTTTATATTTGATATCACTGCACCACCTTTGCAAACGAATTCGAAATGGTCATTTTTCAATACTATCTC